TATGATGTTTAGAGGCAGAGCCTCCAAGAGGTTATTAAAATTAGAAATGTTTGTCAGGGGGGTCCCCCCGTTATTGACTACTGGTGGCTCTTAAAGAAGGAGGAGAGAGACCAGAGGATACACACACACACATGCATGCTCCCTGTCTCTTGCTACCAGAAAAGCCTTCTACAGGTACAAACATCTAAACTTCCAGAACTGTGGGCTAAATAGACTTCTTTTCTCTATAACTTATCCAGTCTGTGGCATTTAGTTATTAGCAATAGAAAATGGACAATATCAAGATTAATGTTATAATCAAATAAAACACATATTGAGAATCCAGTGCTCATTGGTCATGGAAATTGTCATACATGTTCAGAAAAGACCCATTCTCATTGATGTCTCAATAACCCTTTCTTCTCATAGCTGTTCTCAAGATTGGAATGTGCTAATGAAAATCAACAGGTCTCAGGGCTGGTGTTGTGGTGTCACGGGGTAAGCTGCTGCCTGCAATGCCAGCATCCCATTTGGGCACCACCAGTTCAAGTCCCAGTTGACCCACTTCCAGTCCAGCTCCCTGCTAATGTGCTTGGAAAAGCGGCACAAGATGGCCCAAGTTCTTGGACCCCTACCACCCACTTGGGAGACTAGATAAAGCTCCTGGTTCCTGGCTTCAACCTGGCCCAGTCCTAGCCATTGCAGCCATTTTGGGAAATGAACCAGTGAATGGTAGATCTCTCTCTCTCTCTCTTTCTCTGTAACTCTGCCTTTCAAATAAACAAAATAACTCTTTAAAAAAGATAAAGTGTAGGGTTCTAGTCCCTGTTGGGGTGCCAGATTCTGTCCTGGTTGCTCCTCTTCCAGTCCAGCTCTCTGTGTGTCCCCGGAAGGCAGTGGAGGATGGCCCAAGTGCTTGGTCCCTGCACCTGCATGGGAGACCAGGAGGAAGTACCTGGCTCCTGGCTTTGGATCAGTGCAGCGCCAGCTATAGTGGCCACTTGGGGGGTGAACCAACAGAAAAGGAAGACCTTCCTCTGTCTCTCTCTGTCACTAACTCTGCCTGTAAAAAAAAAAAAAATAAAGTGTATATATTTAAAAAAGAAGAAAAAACCAACAGGCCCATTTTAATCACCATCCATTAATCATTGGTTTCCTTCTTTCCCCTTGACCTGAGTCTGGAGCCTAATAGAAGGTGACTGAATTATTCTTCTCTTCATTTTCCAGCCCTGAGAATTAACCCCATTGTTTCTTCTGCTTATACGAAATTCTTTGGAGTATCCAAACTGGAAACAGAAGAGTTATGATTCAGGGAGGAAAATAGAGGCTTGTAGAGTTCCTTAAGGAAAGTTATAACCTTCCTTATGTGCAAGTCCTTATTTACCCTTAGTGTCTAGAGTCCTTGGGAGAGTCGCTATCCTGGTCATGAGGCTGAAGCTGAGTTTCAGGGAGGTTTTTCTGGTACTTTAGTCACTACCCATCCTAGAAAGAATTTAAGACCAGGTCTCTCATTCCTCTCTGTTGATAGTTCTAAGTAATTATTTTGGAAATTATTTTGAAGTCCTTGATAGAAAATACAGTATGGCAATTCAGTTATTTAATCAGAGCCAAATTATGAGTCATAGGAAATTGCCCATAATTGGGTCTTTCCTTCCTTTGCCTACATTCATTCACTGCTAAGCTTTTGGTCACTCATTCTAAAGAGGAGGCCAAGAACCAAACACATAAGGGTACTTCAAAATATTTGTGGAAAATAAAATCAAAAGGTGAATTTATTCCAGTGCAAAAATTTTGGAATCCATGCATATGAGAGGTCTTCAAAGAGTTCATGGGAAATGTATATCATAAAAAAGATACATGGATTTAAAATTTTCAGCGCCAAAATAAACATCTTTTTTTAAAGATTTATTTTTATTTGTTTGAAAAACAGAGTTACAGAGAGAGGTAGAGACAGAGTGAGAAGTCTTCCATCTGGTGGTTCCGATGGGCATAGCTCCAGCTGTTGTGGCCATTTGGGGAGTGAACCAACAGGAGGAGACCTTTCTCTCTGTCTTTCCATCTCACTGACTGTAACTCTACCTCTCAAATAAATAATTAAAATCTTAAAAAAAAGAATTGCCTCTTTAATCTGCCAATGCCTCTCAGGGATGGAGCTAGGCTCTGGGAAACCTTGCAGTGAATGTTATCATAAAATAATGCCTTATTAGATACACACTGTTTAAGTCCTAGAAAAACTCCTTTAATATTTGTGGTCCTCAGTTTTCTCATATGTAATTTGGAATTGATAATATCTACATCAAAATTTTTATAACAATTACACTATAAATCATGCACTCCAAGTGGTATAGGATATACATTAAAAGGAATGAGCCTTCTTAACATCAATCAATCAAAATAGGTAGGGCTACACAACCAAGGACATTGGTTCAAAGAATTAATGCTCTTGTCATTCATCAGATTTCATCCTCCACTACTTTCAATTTGATGCTTGAAAATCATCTTGCTGGGATCCTTTTATTTCTTCAGATGATCTTTAACTGAGAGAAATTGATATTAATAGAAAATAAAATAAAAAAGTACCAAATACTTTTCAGAAATGGAATGGCATTTGAGTATCTTAAATGCCAGTGAAGTGGAGTGATGGATATTATTATAATATACCTTTGGAACTTAATTTTATGCATAACTAAGACAAGAAAAAATTATATCCCCAGTGAATTATGACAAGTGATATGGTGAGGATTTGAATTTATGTTTTCCAACTTCATGATCATGGCTCTATTGAAGCCACAACATTGGCATCTACTGCTTAAATCTTCAGATTTTTCCCAGGAGTAAAGGAGATTACATATTTAAAGCATTGGCTAAGTTTCTAGCAATGAGTAAATGTTCAGAGGGTTAGGTATTACTGTTATCATTATCATTCACATTAAATGAGGAGTTTTGTTTAGTATAGACCTCTGTGGGGTAAAAATCTTGCAGTTTGAGTCTCAAAACTCTTATTGGTTTTTCTGGTCAAATCTACTCCATCACATGTCAGGGAAATGCCTAGAAAATTATTTCTGTAAATTCATCATTGGGAATCTCTCATGACTGTAGTATCAACTCGGAGAATTATTATATCTCATTTTGTACTAAGCAGAGACAACTTCCCTCCCTCCAGGGTTCTCAACTCCATTGTAATACTTGATCAGATCCCTAATCACTTATCTGATATTCATGGTCTCTGGAGTAGTTGCAGTGAAAGAATTTTTAATAAAACTAGATTTTTTATGCTTTTTTTAACTTTTATTTAATGAACATAAATTTCCAAAGTACAGCTTATGGATTACAATGGCTTCCCCCCATAACGTCCCTCCCACCCGCAACCCTCCCCTTTCCCACTCCCTTTCCCCTTCCATTCACATCATGATTCATTTTCGATTCTCTTTATATACAGAAGATCAGTTTAGCATACATTAAGTAAAGATTTCAACAGTTTGCTCCCACACAGAAACATAAAGTGAAAAATACTGTTTGAGTACTAGTTATAGCATTAAATCTCAATGTACAGCACACTAAGGACAGAGATCCTGCATGAGGAGTAAGCGCACAGTGACTCCTGTTGTTGACTTAACAAATTGACACTCTTGTTTATGGCATCAGTAATCACCCTAGGCTCTTGTCATGAGCTGCCAAGGCTATGGAAGCCCTCTGAGTTCACCAACTCTGATCATATTTAGACAAGACCATGGCCAAAGTGGAAGTTCTCTCCTCCCTTCAGAGAAAGGTACCTCCTTCTTTGATGGCCCGTTCTTTCCACGGGGATCTCACTCGTGGAGATCTTTCATTTAGGTTTTTTTTCCAGAGTGTCTTGGCTTTCCATGCCTGAAATACTCTCATGGGCTTTTCAGCCGGATCCACATGCCTTAAGGGCTGATTCTGAGGCCAGAGTGCTGTTTAGGACATCTGCCATTTTATGGGTCTGCTGTGTTCCCATGTTGGATCGTTCTCTTCCTTTTTTATTCTATCAGCTAGTATTTGCAGACACTATTCTTGTTTATGTGATCCCTTTGGCTCTTAGTCCTATCATTATGATCAATTGTGAACAGAAATTGATCACTGGGACTAGTGAGATGGCATTGGTACATGCCACCTTTATGGGATTGAATTGGAATCCCCTGGTATGTTTCTAACTATACCGTTTGAGGTAAGTCAGCTTGAGCATGTCCCGAATCGCACATCTCTTCCCTCTCTTATTTCCACTCTTGTATTTAACAGCGATCACTTTTCAGTTAAGAATAAAACTAGATTTTAAGGAATCTTTAAGCACTTGTTAAAAAAAGAGATGTCAGAATAAAAACAGAGAACTTGACATGATGCTGACCAAAGGGATTTTGAAATCTAACTGGGAACATTTTTTATGTATAAAATAGTAATACACAAGAGCTTATAGTTTGTAATTTGTAGATACTTGATGTGGATTGTGCTATGCCAGGAGGTTTGAAAAGCCCTGTAGAATAAGTGTGCATAAACTTGCCCCCATATCAAGTCACTTGGGTCTAGATATTACTTTCTTTTTCTTGCAAAATAGCTACATGATTTACCTAGGCTCTCTTTACCTCAGTGTATTTGTCTTCAAAATGAAAATGTTACCTGATTCACAGAAATGTTATGAGAATGAAAATATGTTAAGTCACAGACAAAAACTCAATATATGTTATCCATTACCTTTAGTATAAATCTACTCTGAGTTCCAAACTTATTTTTCTAATTGACAACTGGATATCTTTCCTATATGTAACGTGGTACAAACTGGATTTATTGTATTTTTTCCTTACTTGCTTTAGTGTGTGAATGCCCTCTCTCATGGAAAATACAATCATATACCTAATTTCCCATACAAATATCAAGGAAAGAGGCCAGTTAGTAAATGTCATCATCTCTGCTTTCCAGATATGTGCCTAATGTGACCACCATAAACATATGGGTACTTAATAATCTTCTGGGGAAATGGAATTGAAGAAAAAGTTTATTTTTGTGTAAAAACTTGACATTTATGAATAGTTTGTTCAAAATATACATTTTACATGACCAAAAATTATGGAAAGGATACCAGGAAGTACTTGAGGTAAAAAAACATACCGTAACTACAAGATTTCTGAAGAACATTTTCCAATTTAAAATGCCACATGTAACTCAGGTAGACTTTGTCACACTCCATTTCTTTTGTATTCCTCACCTATATAGGTATATATGCAAATAACTGTATTCATTAGAACACAGCACTGATGTCCATTCCCAAGTTGAAGTCAAGCAGCGGCACTTTTGTTCTTACGGGGATCCCTTACCATTCCACCAAGGCACCTGTAGCTCCAACAAAACAAAAATATATTAATAAATTAATGTGATATAATATATCCTCCTCATTTCTTCTCTTGGTTTATTCTTCATTTATCTCATGTTCCAGTCTCCAAGAAGCTTTCTTTGTCCTGCTTAGTCCTTCCTCCTCTAACCTCTGTCCATATAGAAATCTATCATACCATTAAAGACAAAAGTATTATAATAGCATACAGTAATATTCATTCTTCACAATTCTGTGATAATGATCTTACCTGTTTCCTTCCACAGACCCAACACCTAGAGAAAGTAGTGATTATGCTTTCCAGTTGTGACATATATGTCACATACTAAATACTAATGAATATGTGTTGAATTAATAGACACACACGTGATAATTAAAAGATGAATGTATCTCTTCCTTGAAAAGACAAAGCCATTGGACTTGGGTGGAAGAGGTAAAAAATCTATAGAATTCTCAATCATGATGTCTGGAATCCAAGTAACTAGATGTAAAATTCCATTTTGGTTGTTAGTTCTTGCCTTTTTGATCATTGTGAAGAGTTCCTTTTAATTGAAATACCTCTAGTTTGAGAATATGCTTCAAAATCCATAAAATGCAGTTTTTGTGGTCTACAAATGGGGTTTGTAGTAATTCTTGGTCTCAGTGTTATTTCTATTTCAGAGGAATCTTATCAGTAAGCATACGACTGGGTGTATCAGTGAACTTAGCTGTTGAAAGCATTAGAGTAAATGAGTGCTCAGCCAACACCTAATACAAATTCTACTTCTGCCCTTTCACTAGATAAGTTCCTTGAGCAAGCTGCTTGATTTTCTTAATCCACACAAAGAAGATTACTGTCCTAATGTTTTAAATTTTTCAAAATCTTTTTAAACTGAAATTTTATTGTCTACAAAATGGGAGAGAGTGGTATTTATTACACAGAGGTATCAGAAGAATCAATATGATGACAAGCATAATAGACTGGGAGACTACCTAAATTTAATAAACAGGTCATTTAAAATGAGCTATTTTGTTACTTACACAGTGTGAGTCCTTGGCATATCCAGTTTATTCTGACTGCCACCAGTGACAGATCCTGAAATTCCTCTGGAAATTCCATATTTTGGATCTTGAAGAGTTTTTCCATTTTCCTAGTTGTCAGTTATGATATACAGATATCCCTGAAGATCTGAAAGGCTTGTGCCAGTGTTATCTGTCATAGTTCTCTATTTCAGGATGATTCAAGTTCCCTGGGAGCATCATCATATGGGAATAGAACATGAGATATTTAGAAACTGGTTTACCAAACCACACATGTTCAATGTACATAGAAATATATTTAAATATATATGTATTATGTACATGACATATATATTTTATATGTGATAAATAGCCGGCACACTTGTTAAGATATAAAAGGCACTTGGATCTGTGTCATTTATTGGTTTATGATAATATATTGGAACCCTGATACTTTGGAGCAGGGAGTATGGAGAAGGAGAAAAAACAGTAGTTCATGATAAAGAAATCTGAGAGCCAGGAGGTGGCTGGGACTTCCGCCTGCTGTGCCATTGTTGCAGGACCACAGCTTGGAGGTTGTGCAACACCTTTGGTAAACACTTCCTGAAGCCGAGACAAGAATGAACCAGGCAGTCTCACTCTGTCTCACTTGAGAGGAGACAAGGGCGTAGCAGCAGCCAGGTGTACGTGTGAAGGGCAGGCAGGGAGCTCCAGGAAGCACCAGCATGTGGCAGGAGCTGCTTCTGACACTCACTGTCTTCCTTCCTGCAGTGCCAGGTAGGTGGTGGGCTCTTCTTCACATTCTCTTAAGCACATCAGTGAATGCTTGCTTTTTATCCTCTCCCAGTAGTTTAATTGTACAGAATATTTTGACTATTTAGGATTTGTTTCTGTTCCTCAACAAATTTTACTAACCAGTTGAACTGGTTTTGATCTGTTGTTTGGGGGCAGTGACTGATGTAAAAACTCAAAATCAAAAAAGAAGCAATGAGAGCTCTTAGATTGCTGTTTATCTGATCTGTGACTATATAGATGGCAAACAGCATAATTTAAATAATAAATATGATATTTGAGGCAAAAAAATGGAGTTTGGTAAAACCCACTCTGGCATATTAGTGTGTGAAAAATACAGCAGGTATGACTAATTATCACTATAGATAGTTTTTGGGAAATACCTACTATTATTATTGGGCACAGTGGCTCCTTCTGTTTCTTTTGTTCTATTTAGTCCTTTCAGTACTGGTGATAACAAATGTGACTAACTAGAAATAGTTCACCAATTTTGTACTAATGAATCATTGTGATACTTGACTAAGCAATGTTGCTCTGATAATTCACCTCCATTTTGCTGGTTATATCAAACATCAAATAATTCAAAAGTAAACAAATATTACTTCCTAGTACCACGTTGCATCTAGAATGTCTCTCCGTTTCTGTTAAGTGGTCTAATTAGATTTTGTTTATGTTAAATTGGGCAATGCATTGCTTCAGCCCATTTCTATTGCTGGGGCACATTTAAGTCAGCATATTAGCTGCAGTTCTTGAGAGTCCTTGCATGGTAAACTGGGGTCTAAAGTACTTGCTGGGACTTGGGAATGAAAGCAAATTATCATAAGAGGTATGGGTTTTAGGGGAGGAAAGAGTCTCCTCTTTCATGTGCCCATTATATACTTTGTAGCTAAAATGGGTTTCCCCATCTTTATCCCTCTTACTTAATATTTTTAAATATTGAACTGATGCTAGGTATTTAAAATCCTGAGTCAAACTTAGTAGAAATGTTCCTTCCTAATATTCTTCAAAATTGTAGGGGCAACCCTTTGGGAACCAACTTGGGGCTGAAGCAGAACTGCCTGAATACTAGTTTTATCCGCGAGCATAAGGATCAGCCAAGTACATCAGCAGAGTCACATTTCTAACACTGGGGTTCACATATTACATCTTTTTTTAGTGAAATTGCCCCCACCCCAATTCTGCTTCCCTGGACTACACATTCACAGCATGACACCAAGAGTCATAACATCTTAGAAATTATGTGTAGATGTGTGACATCATTCCAACTACACAGTATTGGGGAAAGAGGTTCTGAAGTTACCCTTGTGAGAACTGATGGACAAAGAGAAAGCTGTATCCTCTTACATTTCATATTAAATGGAAAACTATTCCCTTCATTGACCTTCCAGCTTGTGCTTTAAAGGATATCTCCTTGGCCACTGAAATACCATTCTTATTATATCTTTTATTTTTATGGGCTTTATTTTCTATCCAGAATGGAAGAAGTCAAGAAATTTTCATTGCCCATCTCTTCTTCTTTCTTCCTCTGCTCTCATCATCAAAACAATACACGTATGCTGCATTGACCATGATTTTAACCCAATTCTCTTATAGTTGAAATAAAATAATGATATGTGAAATAAGGTCAGTACTTGTAATGATCTTCGCAATCCCCTGGAGGAAATGACTAATGGGATTTCATCCTAGGAAAAGAAAAGAAACAAATATTTAGAAGGATGTGATCAGTGTTGTGTGGTGAAGAAGTGGATGCACCAACAAAGGGAAAATGTTCGCAATATTCCCACAGAAAATCTAGGGGGTACAGGACCTTCAGCAGTCTCTTTCTTGCCTTCACAAGCTGACTAGAACACTCAGAAGAATATAGGCAATTTAACCCTCATAGACAAAATAATGTAATGAATTAGGATGTGTATTTTCATCAGTGTTTATACTCAGTTTTACCACATGAAGTTTAAAATCACAGGATGTTTGTAGAGGTTGAAGAGAATCATAGAATTTAAGTTAATGTTGATACATAAACCTTATTCCAGGTGTAATGTCACATGTTCAGTTAAGAAAAATACTCCTTTCAATTGTTTTGAACCAATTTGAATTAATGTAAAAATGTCAATGTTATGTACGAATGTCCTAATCTCTAAAATGATCCCAAACACATTAACAATTAAAGTAGTAATGCAGACCAATTTCTGTTATATAAATCTTGTTAATGAATGTTGAATTTTCTAAAATTCATGACACATAAAAGAATAGTTATCCAACACAAACCAAAATAATAGTTTTGTTTTTCTTGGTCCATTTTTGCTGGTAAAACCAATTTAATAAATGAGTTCTGTAGAAGAGGAGAAGCAAGCATTAAAACGGATTAATAGAAGCATATTGAGTTGCGGTTGCACCTTGGATTTGTGTAATCCCTGGGTGGCACTTAACTGTGTTTGTTTCACAGTTTTCAAAATAATTAGCCTGATGTTTTTCAGCTGGGAGAAGGCTACATCATCTCCATCAAATTTGAGGGTGAATGAACCAAAAAATATTTAGGTCTGGATATCCCCATATTTCAGGTCTCATTGCTTCAGAGATCTAAGTATCCAGGAAAGTAAGAGCATTTATTGGAAATTGTGTCTGTTCTCTTTAGAGAATACACAGTGTTGCTAGGGTTCAGGAAGAGTGGGCATCCATTCAGTTCAGACTAAAGAGAGAGACCAGCTGCTGAAGATTGTTAAAGCAAATATTACAGCTTTTACTTGTTTGTTCTGTTCTGTTTTGTATGTTTGTGTCTGGTTTCCTCTTGGAAGTGCTTGCTGTTGAGCAGTGATCTATAAATAAATTTCATAACTAATTTACTTATCTTGAGTCCAGTGTTAAGAGCCAGTTGGTAATTTCTGATTTCATGAAACATTAAGATTTAGATGCCAACTAGAAGCATGGAGATCAGTAGGCATATTAGAAAAAAAAATGTATGTTGGCTAGATTGCCTTATTTCCCTTCTCACTACTTCTGAATGGGACATGGTATATTACCATTTTCTGCTTTTATGCAAAGGATTAGGTGGGCAATTACTACTTGTGACCTGAAGGCAATATGAACTATTTCCTGGTAGAATCATATGTTATGGATGAAAACCAGAAATATAACACTTTCAAGAGTTACTGTGGTTGCACCATTGGTGAAATATGATTTCCTTGAGCTCCTTATTAACTAATTGCATTGATTAGACACTGCAATACACTAGGTAGCATGTTGGCACCTTATGGTACGCCTGTTTGGTGTCTCTGAATTAAAGGAGGCAGCAGGGAATTGTGTCAGTACCTTCAGTTAATTTCTGGCAAGAGTAATTTTCTTACCTCCTGGCATCCTATTGTTTTGAAATAATTACAAAAATGTAAAATCAATGACATATGACTGACTTAATATTCCTTTAGACATTTGAACTTCTGTTACAAAAAATTTTATGAATGTTATTTTTTATTCTTCCAAAATTAATTAAATGAAAATAAAAGATGCTCATTGTTACATACATGACAGCAGGAAATGAGTAACTCAACAAACTTGTGAAGTCATACTCAAAGTATGACAATGTAAGGTAACACTTTTTTTTTTATCACAACTGATTAAAGGGATCATGACCTCTTCAAATGATCATGACCTCCTCAAAGAGGTTATAGTGGACTCTATTTATTTAAATAATGTCAAGGACTACATGGATTAGCTTTAGAGACTGATTCATATGCTCCCTCATTTCAAACAAAAAATTAAGCAAACCAAAAATTAAGGTCTTTTGGTGCCAGTGCCATGGTTTTAAAAATTTTTGAAATTGTAATTAATAATCTTAACCTACTGAAAGAACAACTGTTTTGTTAATTTAACACTCCATTTTTGACTCAGAGTTCTTAGCTAATTTAATCTCTTTTCTATTTTTCCAAGTTAAATGCAAATAACACGAGTGATAGATGAATTAAGGATTTTGAAATTGGTGAAAACATGATATCACTAAACATTTTCATAAGTTTTTGCTTTAATTTCTGAAAAAAAAAACTTAAAACAGAATGTTTGGGAATTGATGTTATGACTAAGTGGGTAAGGCTACCACCTGAGATACTGGCATCCCAAATCTCAGTTCCAATTAAAGTCTCATATTACATTGCTTCCGATCCAACTTCCCACTAATGTTACAGGGAAGGCAGAAGAAAACGGCTCAAGTGTGTGGGCCCCTGGCACCCATGGGGATGATGAAGATAGAATTGCTGGCTCCTAGCTTCAGCCTGGCCCAGCCCTGACTATTTTATCCATTTGGAGAATGAATCACGGATAGAAGATTCCTTCCTTCCTGCCTTCCTGCCTTCCTGCCTTCCTGCCTTCCTGCCTTCCTGCCTTCCTGCCTTCCTGCCTTCCTGCCTTCTTTCCTTCCTGCCTTCCTTCCCTCCTTCCTTCCCTCCTTCCCTCTTTCCCTCCTTCCCTCCTTCCTCCCTCCCTCCCTCCTGCCCCCCTTTTCTTTCCTCCCTTTTCTCCTCCTCCATCTTCTTCTGTCAGTCACTCTACCTTTCAATCAATCAATCAATCAATTAACTCATTTAAAAGCAGGAATGATTTTCCCCCTTTGAGACATCAGCTGAGTAAGTGTACAGTCCTCCAAGGTGACTGATGGATGAATAATATTTATTGTCTCCATTATGTTTGTTATAAGATGAACCACAGTAACAGAAATACCTTAGACTTCAGGCTTAAGACTTTGAAAAGCTAGGATTACCTTTAGATGCCCTCCTACTCACTCCATAAAGAAAACAATAGATTTTTTCCAGATTCAGTCTTAGCTGTGTGTGGTAGTGGGAGTGGCAGACGTGGGGAGGGCTCCACTGGGCTCTGGTTCCTACTGCAGTTTGCATACGGTGTACACCTGCAGGATTCTTCAGCAGTCAAGGAACGGATCTGCTGACATTTTCTCAGGCACTACTCTATAGAGGGCAGGGATTAGGCCATGCAGACGAATCAAAAACAAACTAGAAAATACAGTGTTGGCTTTGGATAACTTTGAATTTCTCTATAAGGTGGCCTTTAGAAACAACACCAGAATGAGCATTTAAGATTCAAATAGCAGAGGGGATGTTTGATGCAGTGCTTATGTTGATGCTTGGGAAGAATCCATCCCATATAAATGAGTGTCCAGTTCAAGTCCTTGCTCCTCTGCTTCTGATTCAAATTCCTACTAATGCATACTCTGGGAGGAAACGGGCAATGGCTCATGTATTTGGAAATGCCTGTGGGAGACCCAGATTGTGGGTCCTGGCTTCAGCCTGGACCAGCTCTGGCTGTTTTGGGCATCTGGGGAGTGAACCAGTGGGTTAAGGATCTCTATCCATTTTTCTCTGACTTTTCTACCTTTGAAATAAAATGAAAAAAAATTTAAAAGTCCAAAAAATATTGAAATGAAAATAGATTGGATCAGATAATTTTCCAATTCCCTTTCTTTTTTTTAAACCTCTAACAAAGTCTTTTTATTTATTTATTTTTTATTTACTTATTTATTTTTATTTACTTGAGAGGCAGAGTTACAGACAGATAGAGTGAGAAATAGAGGTCTTTCATCTGCTGGTTCACTCCCCATATGGCCACATGGCTGGAGTGGGGCTGATCTGAAGCCAGGAGCCAGGAGCTTATTCTGGGTCTTTCATGTAGGTACAGGGGCCTAAGAACTTGGGCCATCTTCTACTACTTTCCTAGGCCATCAGCAGGGAGCTGGAATGGAAGTAGGGCAGCTGGTACTTGGATTGGGATGCTGGCACTGCAGGCAGATGCTTACCTCTTTTGCCACAGTGCTAGCTCCCCAATTCCCTTTCTTTTTTTTTTATTTTTTATTTTTGACAGGAAGAGTGGACAGTGAGAGAGAGACAGAGAGAAAGGTCTTCCTTTTGCCGTTGGTTCACCCTCCAATGGCCGCCACGGCCGGCGCACCGCGCTGATCCGATGGCAAGAGCCAGGTGCTTCTGGTCTCCCATGGGGTGCAGGGCCCAAGCACTTGGGCCATCCTCCACTGTACTCCCTGGCCACAGCAGAGAGCTGGTCTGGAAGAGGAGCAACTGGGACAGAACCCCGCGCCCCGACTGGGCCTAGAACCCAGTGTGCCAGCGCCGCAAGGCGGAAGATTAGCCTAGTGAGCCACGGCGCAGGCCCCCAATTCCCTTTCAATATGACTGCAGACTCAAAAAAAAAAAATAAATCTTTCCAGTCCAGTGATTGTGTTCAGTTTGTCTGCTGATTTAATGTTCATTTTCATGTTTTTGTGTTTTTGCTCATTCCTGGTCATTCTATGGATGTAGTATTGCAATCTTTTCTTACAGTGACTTGGTGTCTTTCCTCAGTATATGACATTGCTACTGGCAAATCCAATAAAAGTATATTAGAATCAGAAATGGCATAATTATTTTTATAACTTTGGGTGGTTTACACTGTGCTTCTACTCAGTTATTCTGGGACTATTTAGGTTTCTCAAAGATTATGTTGGCTACTGCCTTTATTATTAGTATTAGTATTAGTATTTTTTTTTACAGGCAGAGTGGACAGTGAGAGAGAGAGAGACAGAGAGAAAGGTCTTCCTTTTGCCGTTGGTTCACCCTCCAATGGCCACCGCAGCCGGTGCACTGCGGCCGGCGCACCGCGCTGATCTGAAGGCAGGAGCCAGGTACTTTTCCTGGTCTCCCATGCAGGTGCAGGGCCCAAGGACTTGGGCCATTCTCCACTGTACTCCCGGGCCACAGCAGAGAGCTGGCCTGGAAGAGGGGCAACTGGGACAGAATCCAGCGCCCCGACTGGGCCTAGAACCCGGTGTGCCAGCGCCACAAGGCAGAGGATTAGCCTATTGAGCCACGGCGCCAGCCAGTATTAGTATTAGTATTAGTATTATGTATGTCTCTGTGTGTGTACACTGCTACTATATCCTCACTTAGGGAGTCATTGCTATATATCACTAAAATGGGAAAACTCGGAAGAGATGTTTTTGGAGGTCAGTGTTGTGGTACAGTGGTTGAGCCACCACCTGCAACACCAGCTTCCTCTATGGACACTGGGTCAAGTCCCAGATGCTAAACTTCTGATAGAGCTCTCTGCTCGTGTGCCTGGGAGGGCAGCAGAAGATGGCCCAATTGGTTGGGCTCCTGCCATCCACATAGGAGTTTCAGGCTCCTACTTTAGCCTGGCCCAGCCCCAGCTATTCCGGCCATCTGGGGAGTGAAACAGCAAATGGAAGATCTCTCGCGTATGCTCTGTCTCTGTCTCTCTGTCTTTCCCTCTTGATCTGTAACTCTGCATTTCAAATAAATAAATAGATGGTTAAAAAAAGAAAAGAGGCGTTCAGGCTGACACTGTGGAGCTGTGAGTTAAGCTGCTGTTCACTCTGCCTTCATTTCATATGGGTGCTGGCTTGAGTCCTGCTTGCTCTACTTCTGATCCAGCTCCCTGCTAGTGTGCCTAGACAGGCAGTGGAAGATGGCCCAAGTGCTTGGGCACCTGCACCCTCATGGGAGACCTGGATGAAGCTCCTGGCTCCCGGCTTTGGCTTGGCCCAGCCCTGGCCATTTGGGCCTTTGGAGAGGGGGTAAACCAGTAGATGGAATGTCTCTCTCTGTCTCTTCCTCTCTATGATTCTGACTTTCAAATAAAATAAATAAATCTTAAAAGAAGAATTAGTTTTACTAAAGAGAGAAACACTTGTTGACTCTTAAGGGGGAAACATATGAAGACATAGGTTAAAGTAAAGTAAAGAGAGAAAGAGCAGGGTTTTGACTTTGCTAATCTCTTCTGGTGTCAGCATGTGAATAACTGAAACAAATCACTGAGGGCTTCTGTGTGTAGCTTTCTTCACTTGGAATAAAAGGGATTATCAATACCAACTGACCTCGTTCATGTACTAGGAAGGACTTCTCTTTTGGATAGCTAAGTCTTCTCTTTTTCTCTTTTTTCCCTCTCAGTAAGTGCTATAAAAGATCACCCTGTTATAAAGAAGTATGACGTGGTCTATCCTGTCAGACTTCATCCAGTCCATAAAAGGGAGGTCAAAGATCCACAGCAAAAGGTACAGATTTTGTTTTATCAAAGAATCTTGATTAGTACATGTCAAAAGAAGAAATGAGAGATATAAATGAGATGTGTATATGAATATGTTAATGAATCAGGTGGACTTTGTGACCTTTTAGCTATTACATCTTGGAGGTAAATAATAATGATTATATTTGTTTTAATTTGTTTTAACCTGAATTGCTTTAGTAGTCAGTATTACCAAAAGTTCCACTGTTCACCTCATTTTATAAGCCAATGCTCTGAGATATAAAATAAACTGTTCCAGATTGCACAACAAATTTTAATATTTTATGATAATTTGTTCTGTGTACTTAAAATTGCATGTAACTTATTTATCTATCTATTTATCACCTATCTAACCAAAGGCACAAAACTATAATTAAAATATAAGTAGAAAATAAATATTGCGGGTAAATAAATATATATATACACATATATAACATACACATAATAGCATGAAATTTATCTGCATTTTCTAAATAGGAAGCTATTACAGTTTGCATAATTCTTCCTACTTTGAGAAACAATACATTGTTAACCAAAATTCACTCAACATGTTGTGAGAGGAAAGCTAAAACATGATGATCCATTCAACAACAATATTATAATTATCTGCACTCTGAAGTCTACAGGGAGTGGGGAAACTACAGATAAGTGAGACATAATTTTTAGTATACAAAAATAGTCTAAAAAACAGTTTACTGGTGGCTGGTGCTGTGGTGTAGTGGGCTAGACCTCCGCCTGCTGCGCCAGAATCCCAAATGGGCACCAGTTTGTGTCCTGGCTGCCCCACTTCTGATCCATCTCTCTGCTGTGGCCTAAGAAAGCAATGGAGGATGGCCTAAGTGTTTGGGCCCCTGAACCTATGTGGGAGACCCGGAAGGAACTCTTGGCTTGTGGCTTTGGATCAGCTCAGTTCCAGCCATTGAGGCCAATTGGGGAGTGAACCAGTGGATGGAGGACCTTTCTGTCTCTCTGTCTTTCCCTTCTCTCTGTCTGTAACTCTTCCTCTCAAATGAATATATATATATATATTATATATGTGTATATATATATATGTGTATATATATATATATATTCATGAAAGGCAGATTGGGAACCCACACACATAGAACTCTTCCAGTATTCTGGTCCACTCCTTAAATGGCTGCAACAGCCAGATCTGGGCCATGCTGAAGCCAGGAACCAGACAATCCACCCTGGTTTCATATATATATATATATATGTATATATATATATATGGTTTCATATATAAATATATATGTGTGTGTGTGTGTGTGTGTGTGTGTGTGTATATATATATATATATACACATACATATGGCAAGGACCTACCTTGGGCTATCATCTGCTGTCTTTTCAGGCATGCTAACAGGGAGCTGGATTGGAAGTTGAGAAGCTGGGGGACTATAACCATACTGACATCACAATGATCACTTAATCTGTTGCACAATAATGCCAGTCCTCTCTGAATATTTTTGTTACACAAAACCCAGATATATGGAGTGCCAAGTGTATCATACAATTATACCTTCTGTTGGACCAGAGTGAGGCACCATCTTTCTGACTTGATCAGACATAGACACATAGTTTAATATTTGAGCTATAATGAAATAACATTTGCAAACGTTTTTGAAGGAGAAGTACCAGAGATCAGGGTAGAACTTTGAATATTCTATTCATGATTATGTTTTATGTGCATGAACTAAGGGTAATGGAATAAATAACTATTGAATAAATGACTTAATGTATAAGCAAACAAATGAACAATGAAATGAATGAATCTGACTGGAATACATTATACATCTGCTTCCATAGATATATGTTCAACAAATACTTAATCAAAACCCTTGATGTAAGAAATCTAAATTATAAAGGTAGTCACTATCATCCGGTTGTACATTTAATTAGAATTCAAAGCCAATTTTCTGTTCGCCCAAGTCACAAAATAGAATATCTGATAGCACAAGGCTTCCTTGTGATTGGGGCTATTTCAAGCAATTTCTGCCACAGTTTCTAGAAGCCTCAAATTTATGGTATTTTGTCTAGTACAGTTGTATTACTGGAATAAACTACCTCCATTTCTGCCAGGTCTTCCTTTGGTTTCCTGAGTTCCATGGCCATAATCACCATCTTGACCTCACAGATTTGCTTCCATCCCAGGACCTTCCAGTGCTCTCCCAATCCAGCCATTAAATCTGAACCATGATAGTTTTCCTGGAAGAAACTTTGAGTTATGTGTCACATGATCAGTTACTACTTTTCAGTTGAACACACACCATTTCCTTCTGGGGGCATTCTCTAAATCAAAGCTCATCTTTCCTCTCCTAATTCATACCTAAGAACCTACAGAGTATACAAAAAGGATGCTTCTTATCAGTAGGTATCACTCTCCAACACTGAATTCTTCAAAGTCAGGGTTATCACATCACACAATGTACATTCTCTCATGTAGCCTCTGGTTTTCTTTCTTGTTCTTTGCTTCCACCTATAATCTCTATGCCAATGTTAGCTAAAACTCCTACTCAAAAAATGAATGCTCCTTTTCTAAAACAACCTCCAAATGATAATTTTGGAACAAAATCCACAAAATTTTACTGCAGGCTGGAACAGACATCTAGAATGTCTTTCTGGGTAGAACACTGCATTTAGAACCATAACAGTGTCATTCTATCTAGTCTTTTTAAACCTGAACAATAAATACTTACGGCTATTCTCCATTACTTTTATTTTTTCAATTCCCTGGCTTTTTCCACCTTCTGTACATGAAAATTAGCTGAAACCAATCAGTTTACCCTCATCCAGATCCAATATACAGAGTATTTATAGACAGAATTTTGAACACCAGAACACAGCCTAATAACTGATGATTTAAAGGAAGATATATTGTGATATTTGACCTTGAAGATGGCCAAATTCCCACACAATACTCATCAACTGATAGTTGTAACTTGCCATTGCTACTCAATGAGTTTAGGTGCTATTCTGGTCATTAAAGTGAAGAGATAAGAAAAGTTGAGCCTTAGGTACAACATAGCATATGAAAAAGGACTCAGTCCCTTGTACATGTTTCTCAATCTTTGGGCTGCTGTATTTAGATATTTTTAATGAAAATGGCAGTAATAAAGTTTTATAGAGCCACATGAGAAATGTGTGACCCAAAACATCTTATTTTAATTTATTCTTTATCTTTTCTTTTATATAAAAATCTACATTTAACGTAGTTCTCCTTTTCTATATGATTTACGTGACATATTTCTTGCTCCTAAGTGCTTGAAACTGTCATTTATTTCTGATGATTTCTCTCAACATTCGGGTACATATTCCTGCTATGGCTTTCATATTCTGAGCTTCAAATTTATTTATTGGGGCCAGTGCTATGACGTAGTTGCTAAAGCCCTGCCTGCAGTGCCGGCATCCCATATGGGTGCCGGTTCATGTCCCAGCTGCTCCTCTTCCCAACTAGCTCTCTGCTATGGCCTGGGAAAGCAGTAGAAGATTGCCTAAGTGCTTGGGCCCCTGCACCCACATGGAGACCCAGAAGAAGCTCCTGGCTCCTGGCTTCAGATCAACTCAGCTCTGGCAATTGTGGCCATTTAGAGGGTGAACCAGCGGATGAAAGACATCTCTCTCTCTCTCTCTCTCTCTCTCCCTCCCTCCCTCCCTCTCTCTCTCTGGCTCTACTTCTCTATGTAACTCCATTTTTCACATAAATAAACTAAATCTTTAAAAATATTTATTTCTTTATCTGAAAGAGCGATGAGAGATGAGAGAGAGAGAGAGAGAGAGAGAGAGAGTGAATATATCTCCTCAAATGGTCCCTATAGCCTGGGCTGGGCTAGGCTGAAATCTGGTCTCATCCAGGCCTCATCCAAGTCACCCGCATAGGTGGCAATGGTCCAGATACTTGGTCTATCTTCATCTGATTTCTCAGGTGCACTAGCAGGGAGCTAGATGGGAATTGGAGCAATTGGGACATAAACCAGAACCCATGTGAGATGCCAGCATCCCAGAAGGTGGCTTAACCTGCTGTGCCCCAAAGCCAGCTCCTCCACAGAGTCTTGAAGTCTTCAACATCAAAATTCAATGGACTGGCATGGTGGTATAGTGGGTAAAGCCACCACCTGCAAGGCCATAACCCCATTTGGGTGACAGTTCATGTTCCACTGCTCCACTTCTGAACCAGCTCTCTGATAATGGCTTGGAAAAGAAGTAAAGGATGAGCCAAGTACTCAGTCCCCTGGGGGAGACACAGATGAAGTCTCTGGCTCCTGGCTTCAGCCTGGCCCAGCTCCAGGCATTGCAATTATCTTGGGGAATGAACCAACAGATGGAAGATCTCTTTCTCTGTCTCGCCCTCTCCATCTGTAACTCTGACTTTCAAAGTAAATAAATCTTTTAAAAAATAATCCATGACTAGTCCTGGTCGGGGCGCCGGATTCTGTCCCGGTTGCTCCTCTTCCAGGCCAGCTCTCTGCTGTGGCCAGGAGGGCAGTGGAGGATCGCCCAAGTCCCTGGGCCCTGCACCCGAATGGGAGACCAGGAGAAGCACCTGGCTCCTGGCTTCGGATCAGCGCGATGCGCTGGCCGCAGCACGCCGGCCGCAGCGGCCATTGGAGGGTGAACCAAAGGCAAAGGAAGACGTTTCTCTCTGTGTCTCTCTCTCTCTCACTGTCCACTCCGCCTGTCAAAAAAATTAAAAAAAAAAATAATCCATGAAACACAGTTGAGATTTTTAGGTCTGTGTGCAAATTCTTTGTTCAGATAAATTCAGTTCCCCACTTCACTCAGGTAATACCACCTTCAGGTTAAATGTTACATCTCAAGAAAGCCATCTATGCCTTTAAAACATTAGGTGTCCTATAACATATGTACATCTGTTATCATACCACTTCATGTTCTGTCTTTACTCAAGGTTATGGGCACTCTGACAGCAGATAACACTTTTTTTTTTTTTTTTTGCATAGAGTTGAATTTCCAGAGCCAAGCAGAATCACGTTTCTAATATAACCAGCACTCAAACAATATATGTATAGTGCATGCATGCATGGAGAAATGCATGAATGGAACTATCAGATACCTTTGTGGCCAAAGTTCCTTGATCTGTTAAAAGGGGAAGAAATAAACAGTTGGAATTATACTGACCACTGCTAAAAAAAAGCATATATTTCATGCTAGTAGTTAAGCAGATAAACATAGACAAATGAATAAGTATAGCCAAATAAATATTTGTGTGTGTTTAAATTGCCAGTGAATGTTTGTATATTTTTGCAGGGAAAATTTGAAACTGAATTAAAGTATAAAATGACAGTTGATGGAAAAATTGCAGTGCTTTATTTGAAACAAAACAAGTAAGTGTCTTTAAATCTGATTTATCCTCACCAACAGTAAGTTGTGGTATGCAAAGTATGCCAAAGGAGTCTGTTACTACTTATAGCTCTCACAGTCCTTACCTAATCAGCTTTTGCTCTTAACTGAACCAAGATATCCAACAAATGTTTGTTACTGCTGAAGCAGTAGAAATACATTGGGTAAAACAGCAATTTATGCCGGCGCCGTGGCTCACTAAGCTAATCCTCCACCTTGTGGCGCTGGCACACCGGGTTCTAGTACCTGTCGGGGCGCCAGATTCTGTCCCGGTTGCTCCTCTTCCAGGCCAGCTCTCTGCTGTGGCCAGGGAGTGCAGTGGAGGATGGCCCAAGTCCTTGGGCCCTGCACCCCATGGGAGACCAGGAAAAGTACCTGGCTCCTGCCTTCGGATCAGCGCGGTGCGCCGGCCGCAGCACGCTGGCCGGGGTGGCCATTGGAGGGTGAACCAACGGCAAAGGAAGACCTTTCTCTCTCTCTCACTGTCCACTCTACCTGTCAAAAAATAATAATAATAAAAAACAGCAATTTACCAATACTGTATTTTTGTATTTTAGGAATAAAACCCAATGAATGAAGTGTGAGTAGAAATTCATTGTAGTTATTCTATGACATAGTAGAGAGGTTCCAGTGCATTTTGCTATAACTTCTGGATTTTCTTCTGTATTACCCCATAGTATTATTCTAACACTGAAAAGGTGGATTTTTAAAAATTTTATTTGTGGAATACAAACTTTATGCATTTCATATACACGAATTTGGGAACATGGCAATTCTTCCCCCAACCCCATCTTCCTCCCACCCATACTCCCACCCTTTTTTCTTCCTCCCTCTCCATTTCCATTCTTATTTTTTATAAAGATTTGTTTTAAGTTAATTTTATACTCATTAGATTAACCCTGAACTAAGCAGAGTTCATCGAATAGTACAAAGAAAATTAAAAAAAAAAAAAAGCAAAAACAAACATTGTTCCTCAACAGTCAAGGCAAGGTCTGTTCAAAGTCATTACATCACAAAGTGTCAGTTTTACTCCTATAAATTACCTTTTAGGTACTTTACTAGTTACCACAGATCAGAGAGAACATATGGTATTTGTCTTTTTGTGACTAGCTTATTTCACTAAACATAATGTTTCTAATTTCATCCATTTGTTGCAAATGACAGGATTTCATTTTCTGAATCACTGTAGTATTTCATTTCATTTTTTCATGTGTGTATTGGCCATTTGAATTCCCCCTTTTGAAAAATGCCTGTTCAAGTCCTTTTGCCCATTCCTTAACTAGGTTGTTTTGTTGTTGTTGAGTTTACTGAGCTCTTTATAGATCCTGGATATGAATTTTTTATCAGTTGCATAGTTTGCAAATATTTTCTCCCATTATATCCTTTACCTCTTCTTTTGCAGTGCAGAAGGTTCACAGTTTGCTGTCATCCCATTTGTTGATTTTGGCTTTGATCCCCTATGCTTCTGGATTCTTTTCCAAGAAGTCTTTCCCTATGCCAATGTCTTGCAGGATTTACCCAGTGTTCTCTAGCAATTTCATAATGTCAGTTCATAGATTGATGTCTCTGTTCCATTTTGAGTGTATTTTTGTGTAAGGTGTAAGGTAGGGGTCCAATTTTCCCAGTACCATTTGTTGAAGAGACCATACTGACTCTAGGGATTGATTTTTGCTTCTTTGTCAAAGATAAGTTGGCTGTAGATGCATGGATTGATTTCTGGAGTTTATATTCTGTTCCATCATTCTATACGTCTGTTTTTGTGCCAGTATCAGGCTGTTTTGATTATAACTGCCCTGTAATATGTCTTGAGGTTCTGTATTGTGATGTCTCTGCTTTTGTTTTTGTTGTTTAAGATTACTTTAGCTATTCGGGGTTTCTTGTGTTTCCATATGAATTTTAGCATCATTTTTTCTAGGTCTGAGAAGAATGCTGTTGGTACTTTTTGGAATCACATTGAAACTATAAATTGTGTTTAATATGGACATTGTAATCCATGAACATGGAAGAATTTTCCACTTTTTTGTCTTCTATTTCTTTCTTTAGTGTTTTCTAATTTTTATTGAAGAGATCTTTGATGTCATTGGTTACATTTATCCCAAAGTATTTAAATTTATTGTAGTTATTGTGAATGGGATTGATCTTAGAAGTTCTTTCTCAGCTATGACATCATCTCTGTATACAAAGGCTATTGATTTTTGTGTTTTGCTCTTATATTCTGCTACTTTACCAAACTCTTCTATGAGTTCCAATAGACTCTTGGTGGAGTCTTTGGATCCCCTATATATAGAATTGTGCCATATGCTAATAGGGATAGTTTGATCTCCTCCTTCCCAATTTATTTCTTTTTCTTGCCTAAGGTCTCCGGTTAAAACTTCCAGGACTATATTGAATAGCAGTGGTGAGACTGGGCATACTTGTCTCATTCTGGATTTTTGTGGGAATGCTTCCATTTTTTCCCCATTCAGATGCTGTCTCTTGGATTATCATAAGTTTCCTTGATTATATTGAGAAATGTTCATTTATTTTGAATAGCTTGAGAAGAAATGGAATTAGTTCTTATATAAATGTCTGGTAAAATTCAGCAGTAAAGCTGTAGAGACCTGGGCTTTTCTTTATTGGGGAGGGTCTTTAAACTTATTCAATCTCCAGTAGTTTGTTAACCATCATATTCCATTTTTTGCTTCTCCAGGAATCTCCTTGCACCAGGCTACACGGAAACATATTATAATTCCACAGGAAAAGAAGTCACCACCAGTCCACAAATCATGGTATTACAGAGTTTCCCAAGACCCTTGTTAATAGAGGTGTGACCCACAGACCTAAAGACAGGGTCATCGCTATGGAAATAGCAGAAATGAAACTGCATGTAGAATGCCAGATGCCCTAAACAACACTCTGGCCTCAGAATCAGCCCTTAAGGAGCCTGGATCTGGCTAAAAAGCCCGTGAGAGTATTTCAGGTTTGGAAAGCCAAGACACTGGGCCAAAAATGACATAAGTGAATGATCTCTGTGAGTGAGATCCAAGCAGAAAGAACGGGCCATCAAAAAAGGCAGTAACTTGCTCTGAAGGGAGGAGAGCACTTCCACTTTAAATATGGCCATGTCTAAGTAAGATCTAGTTGGTGAACTCAAGAGGCTTCTGTAGCCTTGGCAGCTCATGACAAGAGCCTCGGGTGATTACTGATATCATAAATAACAGTGTCAATTGTTAAATCAACAATGGGAGTCACTGTGCAGCTGCTCCTCATGTAGGACATCTGTGTTGTACTATGTGAATTAATGGTAAAACTACTACTCAAAGAGTACTCTATACCCTGTGTGTCTGTGTGGGTGCAATCTGTTGAAATCTTTACTTAGTACATACTAAGTTGATCTTCTGTATATAAAGATAATTGAAAATGAATCTTAATGAAGAATGGGATGGGAGAGGGAGTAGGAGAAGGGGGTGGTTGTGGGTGGGAGGAAGGTTATGGGGGGGAAACTGCTATAATCCAAAAGTTTTATTTAATAAATATAAATTTTGAAAGTATAAGTTCAAAAAAAGAAACTGCATGTATAGCAGTGGCACTATTTTTCATTGTTAGTAATTACTTAATTGATCTTCTGACTTTTTAACATTTTGACAAAAATTATCACTTTTCCTTGACAGGTATGGTCCAGGTCTCTCTATTTGAAGGTGGTCAGAAGGATCTTGCTATTTTCTTTGATGTCTTTAGAAAGGAGCAGTTGACAGGGTGTAACAATGAAATAATTTGTTTACTGTCACTTTCTTTTCTGAGTTCCATTGTCTATTGGGATCCCTTCATGTATTCTCATCTATAGCAATGATACAGGAGTTACACAGGCCAACACCTCATCTGTTCCACAGAAATGTCTGCCCTAGAACACCCAAATGAAACAAAAAAGATGATAGGCTGGGTGTTTTGCTCCAAAGAGAAGCTGTTGTGCTGATCCAGTGTTGTGCTGATCCAGTGTTGTGCTGATCAATATTCATCTGGTAGAATTCTTGGATAAATCAAGAAATAAATAAAAATACAATCTGAGTAACATCAATTGGAAAAAGAGCTTGCAGATCTTTGTTAGCAAACTTTTTATAAAGCAGTAAGCCTAGGGAAAGAATTAGTGCAGTTTGGTGGGAGTCAGATTTTAATTTTTCATAAATAAAATCATTTCTTCTAAAATATTTACTTCTGTCCTATATCAGCACCACAAACGTTTAGTAAATGCCTAATAAGTGTGTTGAGATAATCAACAATAAAGATTTTAATCCATTTGAAGCTTTTATCTAATGAGTTTTTCAAATTCCATAAATTGACTGTCATTCGGCAGAAAATGGTTTGAAATTACTAGAGATCACATTTCAATCAAATTTAAGAGTAGGTCTAAAAATTACACACACTTTCCTTTACAAAATTCTATCTAATTTATCTGTAGGATGACTGCTATTATCAAGGACATATCCTTAATGAAAAACTTTCCGATGCTAGCATCAGCACATGCAGGGGTCTGAGGTAAGACTTCATGAATGTCTTGAATGCATCTGTGATTATGATTATGTTTGTTTTATTTAATGCCTGAGGAATCTCAAGCATAATTAATTATACTAGATTGGAATGTGAATCCCAAAGGCTACACAACTTTGAAATTTGAAGGAAATGCCATTTCTCTTAGCAGCAGTTTATAAATTACTCATAGGAAATGATTTTATTTGCTTGTTTTTAAAATGTAGGTTTATGAATCCTAGTGTTAGACGAAGAATCTCTAGACAACTGCCCCTCTCTTTACTTAATTCTTTTTCTAGTATGCCTTCCATACTCTGGCATTCAGCTCTTCCTGTACGTTAATGACTTTCCATGCATCTACCCACACTTAACCTGTATCTTCTGATGCCCAGATTTCGTTATCTAATTTCTTTTACATACTTCTAGTTGGAGATCTTAAATTTATATTGATCTCAATGTGTTTTAAACTTAATTAATAAATGTCTCCCAAATCTGGTATTTGTCCTGTATTCTCTGTTTCAATCAATGCTGTAAATTTATATTGATCTCAATGTGTTTTAAACTTAATTAATAAATGTCTCCCAAATCTGGTATTTTTCCTGTATTCTCTGTTTCAATCAATGCTGTTACCCAGAACTGTAAATTCCTTGAGGACTTCTTACATCTCAATCCTTCATTTTCAGTCCTTTATTATGACCTATAGAGTATGTATTTTAAATATTTCCTGAAGTTATTCCTCTTGTCCCATCTCTACTTCAGTGCCCTAGTCCAGCTACCCTGATCCTTTTTGCAGACCACTGTAACAAGCCATTTAATATACATCCTTACATCCATAATTGATATATTCTAATTCCATTTACATTTAATTGGGTTTCAGTATTGATGCTCTTGTAATTTTCTTTATATCAATCACCTGTTGTAACTATAAACATTATATATTTACTATATAATTGTATATATTCTGTGATTTTCAAATAAAAATTATTTATTCATATTTTTTCAAGAGGCAGAAAGAGAGATGGGCAGTGACAGAGCTCCTATCCACTGATTCACTCCCCAAACGCCTGTAACAACTGGGATGAGGCAAGGGCTAGGGTCAGTAGCGTGAGACTCAATCCAGATCTCCCCAGTGGCAGAAACCAATTTACTTGAGCCATGATCTACTGCTTCCCAGGCTCTGCATTGGATGAAAGCTGGGATCAGATGCCAGAGCCAAGAATTGAACTTAGGCACTCTGATATTGGACAAGGGTGTCTTAACTGCTCAGCTCAAAGCCTGCCCCCTCTTATATTTAATACACATCCACTTTTTTTTTTCTCATTTGAACATATGCTCCATGTAGTACTCTGTTTTTACTGCATGCCTTTAGTCTGATACTTAATAAATAATGAGTACTCACTAAATATAGATTGAATGAATCCTAGTTCAGGGCTTCGGCAGAAAAAGTTGAGAAGAAATTGATAATATACATTGATCATATGCATTACATACTGTTTCAATCTCTGCTATGGTCCTGTTAGGCAGGTATTATCTTTCTCATTTTTTTTTTTTTTTTTGACAGGCAGAGTGGATAGTGAGAGAGAGACAGAGAGAAAGGTCTTCCTTTTGCTGTTGGTTCACCTTCCAATGGCCACCGCGGCTGGCACGCTGCAGCCGGCGCGCTGATCCGATGGCAGGAGCCAGGTGCTTCTCCTGGTCTCCCATGGGGTGCAGGGCCCAAGAACTTGGGCCATCCTCCACTGCACTCCCTGGCCACAGCAGAGGGCTGGCCTGGAAGAGGGGCAACCGGGACAGAATTCGGCACCCCGACCGGGCCTAGAACCCGGTGTGCCGGCGCAGCAAGGCGGAGGATTAGCCTAGTGAGCCGCGGCGCCGGCCTATCTTTCTCATTTTATAGATGAAGAAACTGAGGCTATACAAGTTTAAATCATTTCCCCCATGTTATCACAGCTAATAAGTGACAGACCCAGGATGTTATGGCTTATTTATAAGGTTACACAGTCTCTTCAAGTACATCTTTAGAACAGACACAGCCTGAAAAATGTCCATTCTTGTGCTAGAACTGACATGGGTCAACCACATCACAATGCTGGAGTCACTTCTCCCTGACAGGTCTCATCTTCTCGCAGAGAAAATAAGTTTGAGTAACATCTAAAGGCATCTTCAGCTGAAAGTTTAATTGTATTCTATCATCAAGAGTTTAAGCGGTTCCTGACTAGGAATTCCATAGGGTCCCTTATTAGGAGCCTGCAAGTCAATAGAAATCAAATGTAAGAATACATTTAAAGATTTAGCTTTTTATTTGTGTGTGTGTGTGTGTGTGTGAGAGAGAGAGAGAGAGAGAGAGAGAGAGAGAGAGACAGAGACAGAGAGAGACAGAGAGAGAGACAGAGAGACAGAGAGACAGAGACTTCTTCCATCTGCTGGTTCACTCACCAAATAGACACAATTGCCAGGGCTGGACCAGGCCAGACAGGAACCTGGAACTCCTTCCTGCTCTCCTACATGGAGGACATGGGGCCAAAACACTTGGGCCATCCTTCAGTGCCTTCTCAGGTGCACTAGTAGGGAGCTAAATAGAAATGGAGCTGGAACCAGTGACCATATGGCTTGCTGGTGTCACAGGCAGCTGTGCCACATCAGCAGCCCCTCAATATACTCTTTTAAGAGAAGCCTAAATGCTCATGTTCTGCAGGGGCTACTTCAGCCAAGGAGATGAGAGGTACTTCATTGAACCTTTAAGTTCCACAAACCAGGATGAACAGGAACATGCACTCTTCAAGTATGATCCTGATGAAAACAAAGCCAGCAGCTCCTGTGGAATGGACGATTTGTTATGGGCACATGGATCACAGCAGAATGTGGACCTGCCTGCCTCCAGACTGGTTGTATGTATAACTTTATCCTCTATTTGATGTTTCCTTGTATGTTGTCTTCTGAATACCCTGAGTTCCAGAACTTAGCAACACAACTCACAGAAATATTATAGTCATTGTTGAATTAGTGGGTTATAGAAACACCAATTGCAAAGCAGTGCTATATGAATTTATGACTCTTTCTTAGATGTGAAATGTGCAAAGATTAATAAGTATATGACTTATGCATGCTAGAATAGACAAGTGTCACGATTTTCTCCATAATATAAAATAAATAACAAAATATAAGGAATTATTATTATTATTTTAAAATTAAACATTCTGTTGTCTTTCATGGGTGCATTCAACAAATATCTCCTAAAGCAGTGCTGCAGGTGCTGAGGCCATAACAGTGAGAAAAATAGATGAGTATCTGTCTATAGAACTTGGAATGTTCTTTCACATATAGAATGCTTTCTCTTTTTTTGACAGGCAGAGTGGACAGTGAGAGAGAGAGACAGAGAGAAAGGTCTTCCTTTGCCATTGGTTCACCCTCCAATGGCTGCCGCGGCCGGCACACTGCAGCCGGTGCACCACGCTGATCCGAAGGCAGGAGCCAGGTGCTTCTCCTGGTCTCCCATGGGGTACAGGGCCCAAGCACTTGGGCCATCCTCCACTGCACTCCCTGGCCACAGCAGAGAGCTGGCCTGGAAGAAGGGCAAGCGGGACAGAATCCGGCGCCCCGACCGGGCCTAGAACCCGGTGTGCCGGCGCAGCAAGGCGGAGGATTAGCCTACTGAGCTGCGGCACCGGCCCAGAATGCTTTCAATTAGTTACAGAATGAAAATGAACACAGATCTGTGATTCAACTTGTGAAGAGTCTATCAAAATATACTTATCATTAATAACTTGCGTTTTCTTCAGGATCTACTTCAAATCCAATCATCTTCTTTCAGTTTTCTCAGAACCCATGAGCACTCGGTAAAATTGGTTTTGATAAAATTTCATCTGGCTGTGGGTTTGAATGCCACCATGATTTCTAGGAACCCAGAAGAACCAGTCATGGTTACATGTTATTATGACTTCATCCTCTTGGTTTACCTTGGTAGAAACCTTGTGTTCTTCAGACTCATTCCTCGAGGGCCACATGGAAATAGCCTTTCTTTCTTGATTTCCTATTGTTTTGGCTTTCCTCCTATAATACTGATGCTATGCTGCCTCAGTTTCTGCTGGGACCCCTTCTCCAATTGACCACTAAATATCAGAAGATGTCACAAAGCTCGGGATTTGGTCACTTATTTGCTTTTTCTTTGCATTCTCTCTGAGTAATTTCATTCTCTCCCTCATCCCATTTAATAGGAACCATGCACTAATCACTATCAAATGTGTATCTCCAGCCTTGATCTCTCAATTAATTGTGAGAATCTCATAATTAATTACTTGATTAATATATCTATTTAAATACCTGATATTATAAACTTAATATGCTCCAAAAGATCTACTGGTTTTCAACCCCCAAATGAAACTTTCTTCGCTTTCAATTCCCAGTTTAATAGTACCACTATTCACTCTTTAGTCAAGTCCAAATCTAAAAACCGTCCTTGATTCCTATTTATTTCATCCCTCTTCACATGGAATCCATCTGAAAGTGCCTCCACATACATTCCAGATCTCTTGCTGTGTCGTCTTTTCCAAATATTCCCAATATTCCAAATATTCCCACAATAACCATGGTAACAGCCTCTACCTGAACTTCTTACTCCTTTCCCTCCTCAGTAGGATCCATTCTCTACATGATAGGTCCTGATGTTTTTATGGCAACTCACACTATGTTCTTTTACTGTTTAAAGCCCTCTATTGGCTCCTTTTTTTATTTGTATGTATCTCATAAATACATTAGGAACATAGTAATTCTTCCCACCGTACCCACCCTCCCACCCACTCTCCCCCAGCTCCTGTTTACTCCAAGAAAAAGAAAAAAAGAATGGTATAAAGAAACTAAGAGAACTGTTCCTCAACAGTCTAGACAAGGGCTGTTCTGTTATTGCTTCTCGAAGGTGATGTCTATTGGCTTCTCTTTGCATTTAATACAAAAGCCAGGCAAGTGAGCAAGGGTTACAAAGCCCAATAGGATTAGGGCCCCATCTACCTCTCCATTTTCTTGCCCCCTGTGTGCCCTACCTACTGATAACTATGTTCCTTATATTCTGACCAACACAAATGTTTTGCTGTGTTTTAAACTCACCAATATCAATGTAGTCTAAAGTCTTTTACTAATGTCACTGCTAGAATTCTTTACTAATTTATTTTCCCTTGCTTGGCTTCTCATTTTCATTAATACATCTGCTTAAGGGCTAACACTTCAGTAAAGTTTTCTCTAACTATAAAATAACTACCGAGTCACTCAACATCACACATGTAACCTCTCTATAGAACTTATAACCATCTGATATATATCAATTTGTTTGTGTCTTGTGAGTGCACTAGGCCAGTGGGCCATGTCTGTTTCACTGCTGTATTCCTAGTTCCCAGAACACTATGAGTGCTAATAAATATTTTGCTCCTATGGAGAGTGAGAGGTAAGTTTATATTTCATTAGATAATACCTAAATGTCTATTTTCAGTAATTTGTTCTCAATAAGGACATTTATTCATCTGTTGAAGGACAAGCACTTCTAAAAATGCAACATAATAAATTTTGATAATTTATTATTTAGTAGGAACAATGAATTTGATTCATTTCATTGGGACAATCCATCATGAAGAGTTTTGGCTTTGCTTTTATTTGGGGGGGTGATGGTGTGGAAGAACAGAAATTAGGGAAGCTTTGTCGAGAGGAGAACAGATCAGATGCAATGGTGCTCTGGGCACTGTGCCACTGGTAAAAGAAGGGATATTTATAAAGTTAGCAAAAAAAGACTATAAGGAAAACTCTGAAGGATGTGGACATCATGGTTTCTGGGTATAGTGGTAGGATGGTGAGGAAAGTCTACTGTTCAAGTCTCCAGCAGCTTTGGTTTTTAGCTCCAGCTCCCCCTTACATTAAGTATTTGTGTCATCATTTAAGTTCTTCAGTAAAATGAGTCAGCCTTGAATATTACTGATACCATTCTAGTTCTAACAGTCTGAACCTTGCTTATAGATAATCTTTGTTGTTGATTTAGAGTTTAAAATACTAATAATGTTTCTTTATTCCTAGATAACAACAAACCTCTGATAAAATTGTCAAATAAAAAAAGGACTTTTACAGAGAAAATGTTGTCTTAGTAATTGTCCTCCTTATATTTCAGAAATTGAATGACCAGAAAGTTCAAGAGCGTAAGAAATATATAGAATATTATTTGGTCCTGGATAATGGTGAGGTAATTGCATGAAACTGATATATCTTTTAAAATGTTCCCTCCATATAAATTTAGTTATTATGTGAGAAATTAAATGTCTGCATCTATTTTTCAAAATCCTGAATAACCATATGGTTATAAATTATTTTGAACCTATGAAGTTTGACATTTATAATTCAGTTACTATGATTTTTCCTCTCCAGGAATTGGCAGCTGATATATACACATAAATTGAATTCCTGCCACTGTAATGCTCTTTCCTTGGTGTCTTATGAGCTAAATTTCACCTCCTACTAAATTCTTTGGTCATCTTGTTTCTTGTTAAGTACCTAAATTGTTTGTTTGTCAGAATCTATGCTCAACATGTGGTGGTAAACATAAAAGCCTAGGGAATGGAATCTTCTGAAAAATGCAAATCTTTGGCAATAGTCACTATTTAGCTTTGTTTATAAGAATACTTTTCCATATATTGGATTTTTAAATACAAGCTCCATTCATATAACCCTATAAAGGAAAATGTTGGACTATAGAAACATGAATACATTAAATAGATCAAGCCTTAAAGCTTTGGCCTCTCTTATTGGACTGAAATCATTTTTTAAAATGAATAAACTATTCCTTGCACAGATTCTGCACAGCTTAGAAATCATAGAATTTGAGTGAAAATGTATTTGGAATAATTCTTTAGAGTTTTATGCTGAGCCACTACATTATCAAATAAGTCATTATCTCCAATCAAAGTAATTTAATTTAGTGACAGAAGTAAGGATCCAATTTGTTTCTGACTTTTAAGTTTTTAGTAACCAATCCTTAACTGTAACTTCTGAAAAGAAATATAAGTATGGTTGTCTTTCTCTTAATCTTAAAATTATACCAATTTTTACTAATGCTCATATTCTGCTTTCACTTTTTTAGTATAAAAAATACAATGAAAACCCAGAGGAAATAAGAAACAGGGTGTTTGAGATGGCCAATTACGTCAACATGGTATGATACACTTTATTAAATATAAGCAGTTGACTGGGAAACGCTATTGGGTTTTTCTCTGAATGCATATGAAGCTGTCTGGTACTAAAGGAAGACCACAATTTTGTTACTTAATTTAGTATTGTTATCCCATGACAGAGACTTTTCTCAACTACTTGCCACCACTCCTCCTAGACCCGTGTAGATATTCAAGATGCTGTTGTATTTTGTTCTCCTAAAATCCACTAAGAAAATGATAAAATGAAATAACAAATAGAAAACTGTTTCGGGGGGGCACACAAAAATATGCCAAATTCTGACACAATAACACCTTTTGTTTACATTATCTCATTAATCCTCAAAACAACCATAACTAAGCTATTACTAAAATCTAACATAGAGCTATGGAATTACATTCTGAGAAATGAAGTAACTTGCTTATAATCACAAAGGTAGAGAACAATAGAGGTAGGATTTTGACATATCATAGATCTCAAATCCCATTTCAGTTACACGCCTGTTGGTTAGATGTGATTGTAACAATTTCCAAATTTTTATGCTCCTTTTAATTAAAAGTTATTTGTTAGTTTCTTATAAGTTTCATACACAGTTGGTGTACTTATTTTGAAGCTAAGTCTCTTTATGTTGTCCTGCAAAACTTTTCAAGATGGAAGGAAAATGAGTGTGGATTCAGTGACCAAGGCCACATCATGTCCTCTCAACATAAAGATCAAGCATACCACTTTTAAGGGAACCCAGGAACTGGGGTTTGTATTTGTGTTCAGGGAGACAGACATAAACAAACAGACAATCAAATAAATAGTTGATAGGAATGGGACCATTGCTGTTGCATATCAGGTTAAACCAGTGCCTGTAGTGCTGTCATCCCATATGGACACCAGTTTAAGTTCCAGTTGCTCCACTTTTGATCTAGCTCCCTGCTAATAAGTAGTGGAGGATGGTTAAGAGCATAATTAGAGTGAGTCCAAGAGAGAATAAGAGATATGGAATTAAGCATAACAAAAAAGATGTATTTCTTCCAGGACACAGAAATGCAGTATATGTTAGAGAGGGGAGTAGGTGTCGCTCCCCCTCTTCGTGGAGGAACGACACTAAACCCTGCCTAGGCTTCATATCCGAGTCACGGCACCATTATGTCGCTCCCCCTCTTCATGGAGGAACGACACTAAGCCCTGCCTAGGCTTCATATCCGAGTCACGGCACCATTATGTCGCTCCCCCTCTTCGTGGAGGAACGACACTAAACCCTGCCTAGGCTTCATATCCGAGTCACGGCACCATTATGTCACTCCCCCTCTTCGTGGAGGAACGACACAGGACCCTGCGCTGCTCTTTTGTCTGCTCGGCCCTCCCCGGGTTTGCTGCTGGTTCTTCCCAGGTTGGCTACTATCCCTTCCACCTCCGTGGAAGGGCAGTTCCCCCTGGCCACATTCCCCACTTCCGCAGGGGAGCGGCACACTGCCGGCCGGCTCTTCTCGGGGGCTGCACAGGTGTTCCTTCAGCTAGATGTTCCCCTTAGATGTTCCCGGTGCATGCCGTCTCTCTCCTCCTTTATAGTCCTCCTCCGCCAATCCTAACTCGGCTGCCCACACGCCGAGTACGCTGCTCTCCTCCAATCAGGAGCAAGTCCTACAGTTTATTAGCTGAACTCGAGGCAGCTGTGCGGAAGCTGTTTACTTCTCTCCCATCGCCATATTGTGGGAGAGCAGATGCATAGAATAAGTCTTAATTCCAGTAACTCAGTCTAGTCCGGTTTGCTCCCCACAGTAGGATTGAGAGAAATTGTCCCCACTCCATGATGGATCCAGTTATAGTTCTTTTTTGGTTCTTAAAATTGTATATATTCTGTGTAATCATGTATATTGCATGATGTTTTGGTGTATTTAATATATTTAGGGGTGTGATTATTTTAATCAGTGTGGAATCCCCAAAATCAATTTTTGCTTATATAAATGATTTCATGGAAGGTTAAACGTTGATAAAATGCAGGGGGAAAAAAAACGTTGATAAAATGCAGCAACAAGTTGTTGGAACCATCTTGATTCAGGAGGATATAGGAGAATGAGTGCTCAGTGCATGAGTGGAGAAGCTGGCCTTAGGTTTTCTGGTCATTCATGTAATAAAGACAGGTAGGTGCAGGGTGTTTGCATAGATATAGGAAGGGAGTAGACAGGTGGGGAGATCCTGTGGAAGTTCTCTTTGGATTACTTCTGCACTCTCAGTGGTTGTGAAAGTGGAATGTTAAAGGAAATGCTGTTACTCCTAATAAAGATGAGGAAGTATGAAATAATGTGCAGAGACTGAGTGAATAACATTAGGAGATGCAGCATGCTTGCTGGAAAATGTTATGAAGCATGGAGATTAGTCATCATGCCTGCAAAGTGTGAGCAATTGGCATGGTGTGTGTTCAAAGGCATGATGGGGGAGAGTCAGTGCAGAGTTGGCTTTGTAAATGATTAGGGTTTATCAGGTAAGTAAAACAAAGAAAACTAGGAACAAGGAAGTGGAGGGAATTATTAAGGGAAGGACTTTAATCTAATTGACGTTTTAATTCTCTCTTCTTAAAAAAAAATATGTATTTATTTGAGAGGAAGAGCTGAGAGAAAGACAGAGACCTTCCATCTGCTGGTTTATTCCCCAAATGCCTATTACAGGACAAGAGCCTGTAATTCAATTCTGGTATCCCACATGAATGGGACTCATTACTGTCATTACTTGAATCACTACTGCCCCTGAGGGTCTGCATTAGCAGGAAGCTGAGTTGGCAACAAAGCCAGGTATTGAAACCAGATCTTCAGTCATCTTAACTGTAAGGTTAAAGCCAGCCCCCTACTTCTCCTTTTATAATTGCATTCCACAGTGCTTTTCAAATTAGTTTTAAAAACAACAACAGGGATCACCTTGTCACACAGCAGATTAGGCTGCCATCTGTGACAGACACCAGCATCTCATGTGTGCTCTGATTCAAGTCCTGGCAGTACCACTTCCAATCCAACTCCCTGCTAATGCTCCTGGGAAAGCAGCAGAAAATGGCCCAAGTCATGGACCCCTGTACCAAAGTGGGAGACCCAGAAGCAGCTCCTGGCTCCTGGCTTCTTCCTGGAACAGCTCTGGCCATTTTGACCATTTGAGGAGTAAATGAGCAGATGGAAGATCTCTCTGTCTGTCTCTCCCTCCCTCCCTCCTTCCCTCTCTCTCTTTGTAACTCTACTTTTCAAATAAATCATTTTTTTAAAGCAAAGATAAATTTTTTTCAGGTTTCTCAACAGAAAATTGGCCATGAGAATGGCTGTCAGTGTGTGCATTTTTAGAAATTATAGTAGCAATGTGAGCTCTTATCATTAGAGTAAGCTTTACCCTTTATTTCAATATGCACATTTTTCATATGTATTATACATCGTGTATATATGACTCGGTCATTTAGAGGACCATCGTCTTAGTATATTGAAGCAGCTGTAATGAAATACTCCAACCTCAGTGGTTCATAACAGCAATAATTCATTTCTCAGAGTTCTGGAGGCTGGGAAATCCAAGATTAATGTGCTGGTAGATGCAGCATCTAGTAAGGGTTCACCTTGCGGCTAATAGGTGGTGCCTTTGGCCTGTCTTCACATGGTAGAAGAAACAAGGCAGCTCACCGGGGCCCTTCGTAGGGGCACTAATCCCACTTATAAGGGCTTACCCTCATGACTTAATCACCTTTCAAATGCCCTATATCCTAATACTGTCACCTTAGAGGTTACAATTTCAACAAATGAATTTGGAGCTGGTGGCCACACATTCAGGCTATAACAACCACTTACCTTGTTCAAATTCATGGATGTAGGACATTTTCATGTAGTGTGTTACTTCTCTAATTCTCCGCACTTGATCTTAGCCAAAAGGCCGAGAAGCGATTTCTTCTCTAATTCTCAAACCAACATTGAACCACCTTGGTTAATTTTAAAATTCCAAGACTTTAAGGAATTTAAAAAAATGAGTGTATATATTTATTTTTTTCTTTCTTTTCTTTTTTTTTAACTTTTATTTAATGAATATAAATTTTTCCAAAGTACAGCTTATGGATTACAATAGCTTCCCCCCCATAACGTCCCTCCCACCTGCAACCCTCCCCTTTCCCACTCCCTCTCCCCTTCCATTCACATCAAGATTCATTTTCGATTCTCTTTATATACAGAAGATCAGTTTAGCATACATTAAGTAAAGATTTCAACAGTTTGCTGCCACACAGAAACATAAAGTGAAAAATACTGTTTGAGTACTAGTTATAGCATTAAATCTCAATGTACAGCACACTAAGGACAGAAATCCTACATGTGGAGTAAGTGCACAGTGACTCCTGTTGTTGACTTAACAAATTGACACTCTTGTTTATGGCCTCAGTAATCACCCTAGGCTCTTGTCATGAGCTGCCAAGGCTATGGAAGCCCCCTGAGTTCACCGACTCTGATCATAATTAGACAAGGCCATCGTCAAAGTGGAAGTTCTCTCCTCCCTTCAGAGAAAGGTACCTCCTTCTTTGATGACCCATTCTTTCCACAGGGATCTCACTCACAGAGATCTTTCATTTAGGTTTTTTTTTTTTTTTTTTTTTTTTTTTTTTTTTTTTTTTTTTTTTTTTTTTTTTCCAGAGTGTCTTGGCTTTCCATGCCTGAAATACTCTCATGGGCTTTTCAGCCAGATCGGAATGCCTTTAGGGCTGATTCTGAGGCCAGAGTGCTGTTTAGGACATCTGCCATTCTATGGGTCTGCTGTGTATCTCACTTCCCATGTTGGATCATTCTCTCCTCTTTTTATTCTATCAGCTAGTATTTGCAGACACTATTCTTGTTTATGTGATCCCTTTGGTTCTTAGTCCTATCATTATGATCAATTATGAACAGAAATTGATCACTGGGACTAGTGAGATGGCATTGGTACATGCCACCTTGATGGGATTGAATTGGAATCCCCTGGTATGTTTCTAACTCTACCGTTTGAGGTGTATATATTTAAACCAAAGCTATAGGAATGATCTGCTAACATAAACTTGCAAAAAGCTTACAGTATTTCTTGAAGTCACATGCAGAAAAAGTTTGCTTTAATAAGGCTTTGGCTTAAAACAAAAACAAAATTTACAAACTCAAAATATCTAGGAGGCTCTGCCTTTCATTTTGCATGGGGATTTTAGTGTCTGAAAGAAGAGAATGTAATTTATTTTTCAGATACATTCAGAAAGAATACTTTTTTTACAGTGCTATGAAGGTTTGAAAATATAAGGCACATTGGAAATATTCAAATGTAACATTATCATTATGTGCTCTCTTTGTACAGCTCTATAAAAAGCTCAATACTCATGTGGCCTTAGTTGGTGTGGAAATCTGGAGTGATGAAGATAAGATAAATATATCTCCAAATGCAAGCTTCACTTTGGAAAATTTTTCTAAATGGAGAGGCAATGTTCTCCTACGGAGAAAACGTCATGATATTGCTCAGTTGATCACGTATGTGTGGGTTTTCCCTTTTGCATACCATGTGATATTTAGAATAGAAGCTTTTCATAGTCTTGATAAAAAAAAAAGTGGTGTCTTCGGCTATAAGACAAGAGGAAAAGGCCTTTAGCAGAATATACTTAAAAATCCCACACTTGGATCGTGTGTCACATGTGATCACACTTTTGATCTAAATATTTTCTTTATTAAAGAGAAGCTGATGATAGAGCAATGATTCATTTGCTTTTATTGTGCATATGGAAAGTAAAGTTTAAATAATAGAAAGAGAGGTTTGGATTCAGTATTTTAAAAAGAAAGATTGACTTTATGATCTAGTAAGGAGAAACTTCCAGGTTGGAAGGAAATATAACTATTTTAATCTCACAACTACACTACCCTACTGAAATGGTCATTTAAAAACAGCAATGAAAGTAAATCCTGTGGCCAAATCACACAATAATACTTGAATTTTTACAAAATTCATTTCACAAATGCTGCTGGGTAGCTGAATAATCTTCAGTTGGAATCAGATAGATGTAAGTGGCAAGGTTTGACTTGGAGTTACTTGAGTCCATCCTTAAGGAAACAGTGACTGTCATGAGAAATCAGTGGAATACATGCTGTCAAAATTAATGAGCATTTCTGTGCTGAACATCTACTAATGTAGAACAAATAAACCAAAGGGGCTGGCATTTTGGCCCAATGGGTTAAGCTGCTGCCTGTGAGTGGGTATTCCATATGGGAGCATTGGTGCAAGTCCTCGGTGCTCTGCTTCAGATCCAGCTTCCTATGACAAAAAAAAAAAAAAATGCTTTCTTTATCTTAAGAAAGGTTACATTCTGGTTTTTTTTAAGATCATTGTATTTATTGAAAGGCATATTTATAGTTGTTATGGGGGGGTAGGTAGATAGAGATCTTCTATTGCTAGTTCACTCCCCAAATGGCTCTAATGGCCATGGGTGAGCCAGGCTGAAGCCAGGAGCCAGGAGCTTTATAAGGAACTGGATTAACAAGGAGCAGGGAGCTAGCTCAGAAATAGAGCAGCCAAGACTCGAACCAGAGCTTCTTTGGGCTGGTGCGTTGCAGGCGGCAGTTTAAGCTGTTATGCTACAATGCCTGCCTAGAAAAAGGCTGCATTCTCCAAATAAATATGATCACTATGAATGACAGAAATGAAATACTAAGCATGAATACATCCTGATGCTTGGATTTCAAATGATAGGCAAGTAATTCCAAGGAAAAAAATGCCTTCCACAAATTCAAAACTGAATAACATTTTAAGTGTGATGGTTCACAATATGAATTTTTCTGTTAACTATTTAGAATTCTAGATGAATTATTTATTTAAATGTAACAGAATCATAATTTATTGTATCAATTCACTTTTCCTACAGAGCAAAAGAACTTTCTGGAACAACTGTGGGCCTTGCTTTCATGTCTACCATGTGCTCTCCTTATCATTCTGTTGGGATTGTTCAGGTCTGTCTGAAGATGAGCAGTTGGTTCTATAATTCACATTTTTTTATTTTCCTGAATCAATTAAGATCATTTAAGAATACCATTATAATTTTGTTCTTTCATTTGTTGACATGGTATTTTGAATGTTGAACTGATTTTGCATTGCAAGATAAACTCAGTATAGTCATAATGTGTTAACTTTTCAAAATATTGTTTGGTTTAACATGCTAACATATATTAAGGATCTTTGCATCTATGTTCATGTAGAGTATCAGTCTGTAGTTTCTATTTCTAGATTTTGTGTTAATTATTTTCTGTGTTTCATTGTTATAGTAAAATTGGCCACATTAAAAGAGTTATGCTCCCAACTGTGATTTTACAGAACTTTTGAGTAGAGTTACTATTAATCCTTCCTAAAATGTTTGATATAATATATGAGTAGAACTATGTGGGCCTAGAGTTCTCTTGGTTGAAAGGTTTTTATATAAATTTTCTTTCTTCAACAGCTTTAGTACTTTTCAGATTACCCAACACTACTTGAATGAGCCTTAGTTGTTCATATATTTAAGAAAAACCATATGCTATTGTGTTGGCACTAATTTGTCAATAGCATTTTTTATTATCCTTTCAGTATCTATAGAATTTGTATTTGTGGTGATACTTCCTCTTTTATTCATATTATAATGTGTGTGTGGGTGTGGTGGTGTTATTGTCAGACTGGCTAGGGATTTATCAATTTCATTGGTTTTCTTAAAGAAACACATTTTGGTTCATCAATGTTCTCTATACTTTCCCTGTTCTCAATTTCATTGATTTCTGCTTTTCTTTTCTTCCTTTTGCTCTACATTTCATTTTTTTCTTTTTCAACACTTTAAATTTTCCATGACTTTAGTTCATCTAAGATGTTTGGATTTCGTGTGTTTTTAATTTTCTCTAGTATGAAAATGATCTCTAATTTCATTTTTCATCTCTTTTGACCATGCATTATTTTTAAGTGTGCTGTATTAATTCCCTTTAGTGATTATGTTATTTAATTCTGTTATAACATGGAACATACTTTGCAGAATTCAATATTCTAAATGTTTTTGAGTTTTATTCTTAGTCAGTGTGCCATATAAACTTGAAAAGTATATCTTCTGTGGTTGAATACAATATGCTAAAATTGTTAATTATGTGACCTTAACTTATAGTGCTGTATAGCTCTTTTAAGTCCTAATGAAGAGAGAGAGAACAGTAAACTTCCAAAGAAAAATTATAGATTTGTCTATCTTCTTTTAATTTTATGTCTTTGTTTTATGCTACTAAATAAACTGTTAGTATAAATGTAAGTGTAATAGTTATGTTTTCTTGGTGAACTGATCCTTTTATCATCATGCCATGATTCTGGCTGAAGTATATATCTCTGAAACATTCCTTGTTCTGAAGTTATTGCAACATTTTATGGTAATTTTTACATGATACTTTCTTTCCTTTATTTTTAACTTATGTACATCTTCACATTTAGAGAAGTTTTCTAGCAGACAGTATATACTTAGATTTTACCTTTTAAAATCTAATCAGATAATATCTGTCTTTTATTGAATATATTTAGATCAGCTATATTAATGTAATTATTGATATTGTTGGGACCAAATTATTTAATTTTTCTACCTGTTTTCTATTCCTTCCAGTGTTTGATTTCTTATGTTTTGTTCACAACCTTCTTTAAGATTGGGTATTTTAAAAATAATTTTATTTATACCTATTTTTTGGCTTTATCAATTACTTGATTATTACATCAGTGGTTTCTTCAGGATTTAACATACCTCTCTAGTAATCAATTCACTTTGAAATAATACCAAGTGTAATATAAGGATCTTATAAATCACTAGCTCTAATTTCCGCTCATACATTGCACTATTGCTATAATATATTTAATAATACATATGCTATGTATTCACAATATATTGTTACAAGTTTTGCTTTAAAAAATTATCTTTTATTGTAATTCAAAATAAAGAAATTGTTCTATATTTACATTTGCTTTATTGCATTATTGCATTTCAAACAATAAACTCTTCATTTCTTTGTAAAGAATCAATTTTTTTACCTGGTATTGAAGTTTTCCTTTCAGAAGGATGTTTTTTAATATTTATTATAATACAGTGAGTTACTTCAGTTTTATCTGAATAAGACTATCTTTCTTTCAATTCAAATATATTTTCACAGGCTCTTTGGGTAGCCTGTAACCCCAACATACTGGTTGATTCAAGAGAAGTTATAATTTCTAATCTGCTTTGTCCTTATTAGTGTCAGAATAGTGCTATTTCCAACTTTCTACATCTTAGACAGAAATGGAACAATATTTTATAATGACCATTTTATGAATCTGGGTTTGTGATAGACTTCATGGAATAAACAAAAATAAATATATATATACATACACAAATATATATTTATAATACATATACATATATGTATATGTATTATAAATATATATTTAAAATATCCTATTGGGGTGAGAGGAATGTGCCAGTAATATCCGAAGATCTGGAATATACATATACATATACATCTATATATGGGTTATTACACTGCAGCTGTTGTTTTGTAAAAGTCCAACTTAATGTAAATTTGTTTTATTTTATATATTGTGAAGGCATTACATATATATATATATTTGCAATTATCCTAATATATACTATTTATATTATGGTTATTATTTTTTAAAGATTTTATTTATTTATTTGAGAGGTAGAGTTACATACTGTGAGAGGGAGAGACAGAAAGATCTTCCATCTGCTGGTTCACTCCCCAAATGGCCACAATGGCTGGAGCTGTATTGATCCGAAGATAGGAGCCAGGAGCTTCTCCTGGGTCTTTGATACAGGTACAGGGGCCCAAGGACTTGGACAATCTTCTACTGCTTTCCCAGGCCACAGCAGAGAGCTGGATTGGAAAAGGAGCAGCCGGGACTAGAACCAGCACCTATATGGGATGCCGGCGCCGCAGGCGGAGAATTAACCTACTACGCCACAGTGCTGGCCCCATGAATTGGTTATTGACTTCCTAAATTACACAGCTTTTCTTTGCTCACTACTCTTGTTTTGTTCTTCATCAATGTTTTTTAAAAAAATTACATATGTATTTATTTAGTTGAAAAGCATAGTGACACACACACCCACACACACAATTACAAAGAGAGACAGAGAGATAGGCAAGCATACAGAGGGATCTTACATCCCCTGGTTCACTGCCAAATGGCTGCAATGCCCAGGACAGGGCCAGATGAGGGCCAAATCAAAGCAAAGTGCCAGGAAATCCATCCAGGTGTTCTATATGGGTAGCAGGGATCTAAGTACTTACACCATAATCCACTGCTTTCCCAGGCACCTTAGCAGGAAACTGGATTGGAAGCCAGGTAGCCAGGAATCAAATGGCACTCTGATATGAGATGTGGGCATCACTAGTGGAGAATAACTCACTGTGCCACAAAGCCAGTGCCTCCTCACTGATCTTGACGTTTGGCTCCTTGAGATGAAATATCAAAGGGAATCCAGTTTCTTTGGCTGGATGTTACTGGCACATTCCTTTCAACCCAATAGGAAATTAAAAAACATTGGTGATTCTCCTTTATTGTTTTATTGCTTCTGGATCACTTGGAATCTCTTGTTCAAGCTCAAATAAGAAATAATCTAGTGATGAAGTCAGATATTGGTTGAACTTCATGCAATGGGATAAATATGGAAATTACTGATGTCTACTCTCGGCAGTAACAGAATGAAGAATGATGCCAGCAGAACTACAGTGCTTAGTCAACAATTTTAGATTACTATTAGCCTAACACATCAAAGACTTCTAAAATTTAGTTGGGAGTATTGAAATGCAAGCTAAGGGAAGAGGAAATGGATCATTGTTTGGTTTTTTTTTTTTTTTTTTTTTTTTTTTTTTTTTTTTTTTTTTTTTTTTTTTGACAGGCAGAGTGGACAGTGAGAGAGAGAGACAGAGAGAGAAAGGTCTTCCTTTTGCCGTTGGTTCACCCTCCAATGGCCGCCGCTGCAGCCGGCGCACCGCGCTGATCCGATGGCAGGAGCCAGGATCCAGGTGCTTTTCCTGGTCTCCCATGGGGTGCAGGGCCCAAGCACCTGGGCCATCCTCCACTGCACTCCCTGGCCATAGCAGAGAGCTGGCCTGGAAGAGGGGCAACCGGGACAGAATCCGGCGCCCCGACCGGGACTAGAACCCGGTGTGCCGGCGCCGCAAGGTGGAGGATTAGCCTATTGAGCCACGGCGCCGGCTTGGATCATTGTTTTAAAAAAGTTTTTTTTTAATTACTATCATGATTGAAAAAAATCTGCTGTTTTATAGCAAGAAACTGGAATAGTTTACCTCATTTTTTGTTTTTTAATTTTTAATTTTTTAAACTTTTATTTAATAAGTATAAATTTTGAAAGAACAACTTTTGGATTATAGCAGCTTTTCCCCCCATAACCTCCTTCCCACCCTAAACCATCCCATTTCCCACTCCCTCTCCCATCCCAATCTTCATCAAGATTCATTTTTAATTCTCTTTATATACAAATAGTTTCCTTCATTATAGGAACCCACTCACCAGAGGAAAGGGCCACTGATATATGCAATAAAGGCATTCAGTACATAACAGGTGTGTGTGTGTATGTGTGTGTGTGTGTTAGAGAGAGAGAGAGACAGACATTTGAGAAGAGCTAAAATCAGCCTATTATACTTGACAATAGAAACAATAATTATGAAAAACATACACAATGAATTATTCCTTGTGAAAATCAGAGCATCTGTTTTCTTGTTCTTACCCTCAGGACCACAGTGACAATCTTCTTAGAGTTGCTGGAACAATGGCCCATGAAATGGGTCACAACTTTGGAATGTATCATGATTCCTATGTTTGCAAGTGCCCTTCTACAATATGTGTGATGGACAAATCACTGAGGTGAGGCTCTCTGGGAACATGCTGTGTGCTCCTGGTTTTGATGCGCTCTGGACTTATTATTCTTTGGGTCATCTTCAGCTACATGTTTCTGTTCCTGAATTGTTGAATAAATATGTATCTGTGCCAGGCCACATTGCCCTTCATTTATGTGCAATATTTTTCATTAACTAGGGAAAGTTTAAATATATTATTTCTTTTCTATTGGAGAACCTCATCATTTTATCTTCATCATATCTACATGAGACCTGATTTCATAAAAATCACTAATATTTATCAAGTTTTCAATGAACTCAGATTGGGTGATGCTAGGAAAAGGAATCTTGGAGAAAAATCTAAATAAAGAAGAAACTTCTTACAGAATGATGAAGATAGTCTATGAAAAGGGATTGCATACCCTGTCTTAGGCACAATTTCCAGGCAATCTTATATTTAAAATCTCAGTCTCTTTTATATATTCATTTCCTCTTTTCTATTCTCTTTTTCCATGCCTTTCAAGCTATTTTCCTATGCTGTATGTTATTTCTCCCAGATATTATAACATTTTATCCCTCATCTTTCTTTGTGTGATGAAGAAATTCTGTTAGTAGGAATTCCTCCAAATGAAAGTGAACTCACTAACATATAAATAAATATAATGCTACCTTTATGTCTTTACAACCACCAAATGATCCAAGGCTGAATAAGATTATCTAGATAAGTTTTATTAAAAATAGGCTTTATACTATACTTGGAGATGTGGCCATATTTCCTTATTAATCCAGGGGTGTTTGTGTCAACCCACATGGATTAATTTATATAGAAAATGAACTCATGACTTAGTCATTGTGAGTGGATTGGAATCATTCTTTGGGGACTGGTTATGCGTATAATCCTACCCAGGGTCAGACATTGCTGCCGCATACAGAACATGACCTAAGCCATTTCTCTACTCTTATCTTCACAGCTTCTATATCCCTACAGACTTCAGTTCCTGTAGCCGTGTCAGCTATGACAAGTTCTTTGAGGAAAAGTTATCAGACTGCATCTTTAATGTTCCATCCCCTAAAGATATTATATCCATACCAATCTGTGGCAACCAATTGGTAGAATTAGGAGAAGACTGTGACTGTGGGACCCCTGAGGTACTATCAAGTATTTCCTAAAATGATCTAGTTTTTCAATTGCTAGAAAGGTCAGTTATAAAATAATGTGCGGTCCATTATATAATTGGATGTTTCCTGTAAGTTTGGACATATGTCTTTGTAGGTATTTGTCAATTTTTATGAGAAGGAACACTTCACTGTTGAATGGACTTTGCTTATTTCCCTCTAAGGATACTATCTCATTCCCCTCTCCTTTTAAAGTACCACGTACCAACTTGAAATCTCAAATATCTTATGTGACGATGACTTCTTGAGCATTACTTTAAGCACTGCTGTGGTAATGTTCAGAGTGTATCTTCCTTAACCAAGGTCTCAGTGAAGGAATCAAGCCCTGGGTTCAGGTTTCTGTTTCTGGAGTCCCAGCACCAGCGAGCACAGGGACCTGGTAGCTCCCTGCAGCTCAGGATTCAGGAAGACTTAGTGGTAGAAGAGACTGAGCTGATCCCATCCTAGTTACAGCACAAGTGCGATTCTGCACAGACATTTGTCATCATCTTGTTGACAATTAATATGACTAGTACATCAAGCCCTCAGGGATTGTTCTTCAGTAATCTTGAAATACATTTACAAACCTATTCATCCTATGAGAAAGACAAAGCGTTCCCATATGGTGTATTTATTTGAACTAAGGGCAAGAGTTTTAACCTTAAAGTGTTACAATTGTAACAGTATTACACTTCTGTAGGAAGCTAGACAGCTCCAGGGAAAATTTCTGAAGCCGGAGTTCCTCCAGTGCATAGTGTAAGCAGGTTGCTGATTTCTCAGAGAAAGCCTGGAGACCTCGTGTATGTACATTGTTTGACGCATAGTTAAATTACACATTAAATCTGGTTACAAACTAGGTCTTTAGCTTTTGGGTATCCATTCTAGATACTGAGTTGACTACTAGTTAGGCATGTAACTGATGAATTGAACTAATTATGTTCTATAAGTAGTAATATGACTTCCATTTTTAAGCTGAACTTTTTCATTTTGTTTTCCCTCATATTTTACCAAAAAATATTTATTTTAGTATTACTACAGGAGACTGAGGGATCTTGAAAATATATTTAAGACTTTTTTAAAAAAAAGATGTAAGTAGAATTCAGAAAAACAAAAAATCAACTCAGTTTGGTAAGCTTTGTTTTTATATTTTTTCTCATAAAATTATTTTCAAACTCTACCTAAGTACATCTGTTTGATGAATAAATTACATGATAAATTGGGCTGAAATAGCACCAAAGAGTAATCCAGAATTTACATTTGTTTCTGATTTCTTAGGAATGTACCAACATTTGCTGTGAAGCTAAAACATGTAAAATCAAAGCAGGTTTTCAATGTGCGTTAGGAGAATGCTGTGAAAAATGCCAAGTAAGATTACCATCTTATTCTATTTTAATAATGATGATTTTGTTTTTGCTATTGTAACATCTTAGTGATTATGTGAAATGAAATGGACAAAGCAATATTTCTCTTCTTGCAAATTAATACCACATGCCGTTTATGGAGCACTTAGTGCTTTATGCACAATGACCTATTTCATCTGGCAGTGACACCCTTCACATTGGGTGTTATTATTTCATTTTACTTTTGAGGGAATAGAAACTCAAAGCAGAAAATGTGCAAAATAATAGGACCACTATTTTTGGTAATCTGAATGAACCTAGAAGACATGGGACTAAGAGAAATAAGTCAGGCGCACAAGGACAAATACCATATGATCTCACTTATATGTGGAATCAAAAATGCCTAACATAGAAACAAAGAGTGGTTTCCAAGAGCAGGAAGGTGTAGACACCTTGCTCAAAGGGTACAAAAAAAAAAAAAAAAATAGGGCTAGAGCCCTAGTGTACTCTAATTGTATCCATAGTGAGTGCAGATAATAATACTGTATTGAACACTGGATATTTGCTAAAATAGCAGACTTCAGGTGTTTTCACTAGGAAGAAAAGGTAATTATATGAGGAATTGAATGTTTATTTACTTGAATATAATAATTATTTCGCTATGTATGTGTATATCAAAGTATCATGTATTATACCTTAAATATATACATTAAAATGTTTAAAATAAATCACATGACCAATATGTAGGGGAAACCTGGAATAGGACTATCTCCACAGCCAATGCTAATTATTCTACCTGCTTCTTTTGGTGCTACATGGCCTTCATGGCCAAAACCTAGTAACATTGATCACATCTGCCTTTAGTGAAGTATTTGGCAGAAGAGTATTATCTATTTTGAATAGTGTGGGAATGCTCCTATCTTCAACCTTCCTACTCATTTCAGAGTGAAATTCTTAGAAATAAGACATGTCATTTGCTCTATGGAAGTTTCTTAAATTTTCCTTTAAGGTGGAGCTTAATATTTTGAGAGCGAAAATTTTGAAAGTCTCTGACTTCAAAAAATTACTGTATAGGGCAATGATACACACATGAAAACAGATGAAAATACGATGCATATTAAGATGGCCATATCAATAGTATAATAACATGTGATATCTCCCATGAGTATTCTGACTTAATTTTCACAGTGCCCTTGTAAGGGGGGTGTTAGATGAGGATTGGATTTTCAGAGATTATATCTATTTTACTTAAGTTAAACCTCTAGCCACAGGCAAAATGAAGATTCAAACCTATATTATCTAAATGCAAAATCAGCAGAATTGCCCACCACAGGTCAAAAACAGGAAGAGTGATTTTCACCAAACAGCTCAGAGAAGCTCATGGGAAGGAAGACTTTCCATTGCCCTATAAAAAATAAATCAAGTTTGGATTCAGATTTAGACAGATAGGGAAGGAATTTCCAGGAGGAGACAGACTGAGCAAACATGTAACCGAATGTACAAACATGGTATGTGCAACAGCTGGAGAGAAAGCTAGTCTGGTTGGAGCAATTGAGTTTCAATTAGCAGAGTGTCATAAACTCCAGCTGGAACTTGGATTATCTCCTGTAACTAGTATGAGGACATTCACAGTACATGCAGTGACAACACACCTGCTTAACAGCAGCTAGGAAAATACGTGTGTCCTCAGATTGACACAAGTGACAGAATGTGTTTTGCTAAGCTTTCTCTGAGAAAACAAGAGCCGTCTGCGGTAATAAATTGCAATGAAGTTGATGTATCAAATGAATATTTGGCTATTTCTCCCTCATGATAAATCATGTCAGGGAGAAGTGAGTTGAAGGAAATATCTGAACCTTCAATAAAATAATTAAGGATTAGGAAACTTGATGCCTGGGAAAGTCTCAAAGTATGGTTGATCTGGTGCTCATAACTTATCTCCTTTAACACAGAAGGTTCACTTCACCAGTAAATCTCTGAAATTTCAGACTTAAATGTTCTTGAAAATCCCAACAAAGATGCATTCAACAAAAGTAGAAAAAACTTCTTTCTCTGCATATGAGATATTGCTTGATTTTTTTGTGTACTTTTTTGGTTTAGTTTATGTTTCCACAATGTTTATCCTACAAACTCAGAAATCATAACAGTTTAAAGACTTAGGGCAGTAGTAAGAGGCAATATGACAGAAGATAGTCTTAATTAATGGAATGAAAAGTTAAACTGGAATAAAGTAATGTGCCTAACTCCCATGGCCAAAAAGGCCAAAAGGAAAATGCTATTTGTGTTAATTTGAGGTGGTAGAGTAAACTTGGTAGAAAAATAACCCTCTTTCTTTTTGTTTTCTTATAGCTTAAAAAGGCTGGGATGGTTTGCAGACCTGCAAAAGATGAGTGTGACCTGCCTGAAATGTGTGATGGTAAATCCAATAATTGCCCTGACAATAGATTCCGAGTCAATGGCTTCCCTTGCCAGAATGGGAAGGGCTACTGTCTGATGGGAACTTGCCCCACACTGCAGAAGCAGTGCACGGAACTCTGGGGACCAGGTAAGAAGACAAATCCCTCTAACTATTATTCTGGGTGATAATGTGTAATAATGGCTAAAAGACTACCCTTTCTCATTCTTGGAAACGATGCCACTGTTCAAAAGTATAGATAAATTCACATTAATACTGAAGGTTAGGGGCTGGCATTGTGGTGCAGCAGATACAGCTGCTGCTTGCAATGCTGGCATCCTGTACGAGCACTGGTTCATGCCCGGGATGCTCTGCTTCTGATTCAGCTCCCAGCTAATGCACCTGGAAAAGCAGCAGAAGATGGCCAAAGTACTTGGGTCACTGCCACTCACATGGGAGACCTGGATGGGGTTCCAGGCACTTAGCTTCAGCCTGACCCAGCCCCAGCTGTTGCAGATATCTGGGGAGTGAACCAGCGGATGGAAGATCTCTCTCTCTCTCTGTATGTCCCCCTCTCTGTAAATCAGTCTTTCAAAGAAAAAGTGCATCTTTTTTAAAGTTTTAGAGTTCTTAAATTTAGCAAGTAAAAATAAAGATGATCCAGTTAAATTTTAACTGGAGAAGGGTGGGTGTTTGGCCCAATAGTTAAGCTGCTAGATTCCTGCGTCCTGTATTGGACTGACTGGGTTCAAGTCCCTGCTCTGCTCCTGACTCCAGCTTCCTACTAATGTACACTCTGGGAGACAGCATATGATGACTCAGATAGTTGAGTCCCTGCCACCCATGTGGGGGATTTGTATTGAATTTCCTGCTCCTAGCTTCATCCTGGAACAGCCCCAGCTTTTGTGTGCATTTGCAGAGTGAACCAGTGGACAAGAGCTCTATCTAACAATCTCTTTCCCTCTCTCTCTCCCTCTCTCTCTCTCTCTCTCAGTCTGACCTTCTGCATCTCAAGTAAATGTAAAGAAATTTAATTTCAAAACAAAGCAAACTCCTTTTTTATTACTGGAATGTCCTGTGCAATGTTTGATATATATTTGTACAAAACTAAGCAAAATAAACCCAACTTCATTTATCTGAAATTCAAATTAAACTGGACATTTTGTATTTTATCTGGCAACCCTAAGATTTTTCAAAGACAAGTTGATTCTTGGAAGTCTGTGTGTGTGTGCATGGGTGTGTGTGTGTATAGGGGTGTTGGTGCCAGGAGAAAGAAAAGGGGGAAAAAGAAGAGCAGGGAAGAAGAGGAGCAATGAGGTAAAGTGTCACGTTGTCCACTAGAATCTTAGAGGTTATGCTCTTTGACTATACCAGGAAGAAAACTTTAAATATAAGTTTCTAGCATAAAGACCTCTGAAATTATAAACTGAAATATAAATTGCCTTAAGTAACCTGATTAGAAAGGCAAGTTCATATCATATATATGATCTTGCATGCGGAATTAAAAGGTTGCTCTCTTAGAAGTATTGAGTAGAATAGTAGTTTCCAAGTGGGGATAGTTGTGGAGATGTTGATTAAAGGAAATACAATTTCTCTTTAAGAAAGACAATTTAAAAACTGAATTACTTGAACGTCCTAGCTATGAAGTATATTGTATATGTGTAATTAATTGTCATATCTTTTCCTGCTTATACTTTCAGAGTCTGATTCAAATTGTGGAGGAATTTTTTTAATAGAGAAAATAGACATACTCCTAAATTTATTGAAGGGAATCATTCCGTGCTAGAAACTTTTCATAATTCCTGAAAATACACCTGCAATGAGATTGAAGAAAGCAGTAAAAATTCCTGATTCACAATACACTTAGTGAAAAGGAATCTGGGATACAAGTGAACAACATCCTAGAGGATCCCTCAGTGATATTCTGTGTCCAGCAAAGCTGGGCTGAGAAACACTTTAGGGAGCAAAGCTCAAAACACTAGTATGTCAGGAAGTGAGTTGGTGCCTTGGAATCTGGCCCCAGCAATCCTGCTTAGACTTCCTGCAGACGGATATGCTAAATTAAAAGTGGAAATATAATTGACTTGGCTGGTTAAAGATTTTAATGCTTCCTTGGTTGATTTCAATGTTCTTTAGCACTGAGGTGAAGTCCTGAGCATCTCCCTTATGATCTGGTAATAAGTGACTGCAATAAATGTTAACTGTTCTTTTCTTTTGCCTCCCTCCATTATCCATCTCCTCTGTAACTATAAACTTCCTAGTACAGGAACAGTCTCTTGTTCACAATTGTATTCCCAGTGACAATTGTATAGCACAGTGCCTTACTTTAGGAAATATTCAAAATTATTAAATTAATGTTGACTATATGATATTGGAAAGAGGAAGACCTTTTAAATCATAGGTTTAAAGGAAGTCATTCAAAAGAACAGAGAAATAGAATTGCCTAAATAAAATGACTAATGCTACACTTCATAAAGGGAGACAAATTTATTTTCAGTTGCTCTGTAAAGTTTGAAAAGTTTTGTACCATATCTAAGTATTAAAATATCACTATTTTTAATATAAAGTCATTCCTATCAATTGAAATGTCAAGAATTGAAAATGTGGCTAAGGCATAAGAAGGCAATTTATCATGAAAAAGAAATACAAATGTCCCACAAATTTTAAATCATTCCAACTTACTACTTTGAAAAAATATGAATATGGGCAGAGTGCCAATTAGCACACCCATGTTCCACAACAGAGTGCCTGAGTTCCATTATGAAACCCAGCTCCTGAATCCTCCTTCCTGCCAGTGCAGACCCAGGGAAGACAGAGGTGATGTTTCAAGTAGTTGGATTCCAGCCACCCATTAAGGTCCTGGCTCCCGACTTTGACCCTCCTGCTATTGTGAGCATTTGGGCAGTGAAGCAGTGGTTGGGAACTCTCTCTCTATATATTTTTTCTCTCTCCTCCTGCCTCCATCCCCTCTCAAATAAACTTAAAAAAATTCTAAGTCTTAAAAAAAGGAAGAAATATTAATGAAAATAGATAATCTCCTAAACTTGTTAATTGACAGATTTGTTACAGATGTCAATGCCCTGGGTGGTGAGGATGTGACAAAATACCTAGCATTATACACCATTGTTAAAAAAAAAAAAAAAAAAAAAAAAACATGGATTAGTATAATCTTTACAGAAAGAATTTGGAAAAATGCATATACAACCAAAAAGAATTTGGAAAAATGCATATACAACCAAAAAAAAAGTTGCACTCCTTGCCCTATTGATTACACCCTGGAATATTTATTTAAAAGAAGATTTCTCTCAGTATTTTTCAATGATAGTTGATAATTGGGAAACATCTTAAAATGTAAAAATTAGGATTAGCCAAATAAATTATAGGCTGCTAACTTAATGCAGGTCTTGCATCCATGATGAGGTAGACTATTTAATGCCTAGAGACATGATAGGCATATCGTTAATTGGGAAAAAGGAAGGTGCTAAATATTTTATAACATCAAAGTGGCAATATTAGCACCAGTAACTCTGCAATTTGGGATTAGAAATATATTTTCCCCTGGTTATTTATGCCTATATACTTTTTAATGTGTCCATATTTTGTTTTTGTATTGAGAAATTACTAAATGTTACTAAAATATAAATACGAAAATATAGTAACAAAACTCACTTTATAATCTTGAACATGGAACCATGAAATTCATTTAAAATGGTGTGAGTTTGCATCATTATAATAATCCTTTTTTAACACACTAGAATATCTTCATAGGTTTTTGGCTTATTTAATCCATTTTTTTGCTTTTTAAAGACTAGATTCAAAATTTCCCTGTATTTAACAGTTTATTAATTTAAAAATATTAAATTTGTTTGAAAGGTAAAGAGACAGAGTTCCCCTCTACTGGCTCACTTTCTAAGTGCTCTCTTTCTAAGGACTTAACTTGGACAGGGGTAGAACTAGGAACAGGGTCCCAAATACTTGGGCCATCACCACTGCTTCCCAGGGTCAGCAGTAGCAGGAAATGAGTCAGGAGCCAAAGCCAGGAATCAAACCCAGGTGCTTTGATATGAGATGTGGGAGTCTTAATAAACACCCATTCGAAGAGATTTTTTTTTGATCTTTAATAGGGTCAGCTCAGTGCAGAAAAAAAGCATAAGTCTTTAAGTTAGACAGACTTGGGCACCAAGTTAGATTTATATTTCTCTGTGACTTAGTATGACTCTCAGTTTTCTTACTGATAAAATGAGAATGATTAAAAATAGAAGAATAGCGAATATTTGTCAACCACATGCTACTAACCAGGCACTGTTCTCCATGGCTCAAATATATTAATCCACATATATTTAATCGGCAACAACAACTCTTCAAGGTAAGTACTGTTATATATGCTAACTTCATAGATGGGCAAATCTAGAGGTTTAAACACTTGACAAAGTTTAAATAGCTGTTCAGTATTGCTTAAAACCTGAGCTTTTAACCACTGTGTTTAGTTGGCCTCTTATGGGAATCTGGAATGCTTACATGAGAAATGAAATATGTGATGCTGACTCCTGTGTCCAGCATATTGGGGGAGTTTCACAAACCATAGCTGTTAGTTGTCATTGTAGCACAGAGCAGCAAAACAGCATTGGAAAACCTGCTTATAAGCTGCTCACATAATGCTTGCAGCTTCTCTGGCTACATCTTCATAGTTATATGGAATTTTTAGCATCAGCAAATCATGCTGATGTTCCCAAACATATAAATAATCATTAACCAATAACAGAATAGTTGAAAGTTTACTTTTAATTCCAGTCAGCTCCTTTGACTTCAAATTATCACAGCCTGCATTTCTGGGAATTGTCAATACGATTGTTTCCAAATAGTACTATTCCTGCTGGTTGTATATTTTATTAATCATTTGCAGCAATGAATTTCTTATCTTTCTTTTCAAATATGCTCCTACTTAACCAGGAACCAAAGTTTCAGATAAGTCATGTTACAGCCGGAATGAAGGTGGGTCAAAGTATGGATACTGTCGCAGAGTGGACAACACACACATTCCCTGTAAAGCAAAGTAAGCAGCCTTGTTGTATGACACTTATTTTTTGTTCCACAGACACATTTCCAGTCCCATATTCTGATTTATGCCTGTTAAAGAGAAAGGGAACTTGGACAAAAGTCTCCTGAAAACATTATTGAGTGTGAGCTGTGTGTCATGCTTCAGGCTAAGTGTTGAGTCGACAGAAGTTACTGAGTCTAAAAACACAATTGGCAAAATCAGGGATCTGGGAAAAATTTATTTGAGCAACAACACATTTTTGTTAACACATGGGATTCTATTGCTGAAGTAATGATCTCTTTCTTCAAGTCCCTCATTGCGGGGGCTTCAGATACTACCAAATACAGACACTGTTAAGTAGAATTAATATTTGGGATGGAATATACAACAAAGTGTTGGCCTGATTGGAAATTTGTCCATGGATTTTATAATATACTATAGTCATTTTTCCAAAAGGTTTTATTTATGAATTTAGAAGTAGAAATATTTATCTACCCAGAGAAATAATCAGTACAATGTTTACATGGTTTTATTTCAACTTGCCACAGACTTTCATAAAAGATATAGAAAGAGAAAAGATGGATCTAAAATGCAGTTATATCCTGTGATCTCTCATTTGTAGAAAATCAGATTCAAAAAGAGATTATTATATTAAAGAAAATACATGAGGGCTGGGAGAAACAAGATGTAGATAATGAGTGAGAAAAGAAAAGTAGCATCGTTGCTTCACTTTACTGCAGTACATGCAAACACCATTGTCCTGTGTAACTGTATAAGCATTGAATAATTTCTATAATTGGAGGCCCATGAATCTAGCTTTCCCCACAGACTGCCCCCTAGTCATTTTTTGATAGTCATTGGATATTGTGGAGAATTAGTTCCAAATCCCTTGTGCAATAGGGCCATCGTTATATTGCTCTACCTTAATGATTTGAGAAAAACATCATCATAAGTTTGGAGAAATGTATGCCTATCTGACTTCTTGATCATAGTCTCTGCAGCTGCCATAGATATCAGAAAAGTCAGATTCTGTCACTTTTTTTATTAACAGGCAAAGTTAGACAGAGAGACAGAGACAGAGAGAAAGGTCTTCCTTCCGTTGGTTCACCCCACAAATGGCCGCTACATCCGGTGCTGTGCTGATCCGAAGCCAGGAGCCAGGTGCTTCCTCCTGGTCTCCCGTGCGAATGGTTTTCATACCTCTCCTCTGAATCCTGCATAAAGCAGTTGACGCTGATTCTATAGGCTAACCTCATTTTCCTTGGTGGAAAATGAATGGCTATGCTGAGGGTTGAGTCATTTAATTTGGAGATACACGGAAAGAGTGACCCATCTGATTTTTTTTTATTCTTTAAAGATTACTTTATTTATTTGAAAGAGTTTCACAGAGAGAGAGAGAGAAGAAGAGGCAGAGGCAGAGGCAGAGATATATAGAGAGAAACACATCTTCCATCTGCTGGTTCACTCCCCAGATGACCATAACAGGCCGGAGCTGTGCTGATCCAAAGCCAGGAGCCAGGGGCTTCTTCTGGGTCTCTCATGTGGGTGCTGGGACCCAAGGACTTGGGCTATCTTCCACTGCTTTCCCAGGCGATAGCAGAGAGCTGGATCGGAAACGGAGCAGCCAGGACTCGAATCGACCCCCATATGTGATGCTGGCACTGCAAGCGGCAGCTTTACCCACTATGCCATAGTGCTGGCCCCGACCCATTTGATGTCTTGCAGTGTTCACAGAGGCTCAGCCCTATACTGACAAAATTACAGTTGAGAGTCAGGTTTTATCTCTTGAATTATTCTGCAGCAAGCATCAAAACAAATATGTAACTTTACTGAAATGAGATAGAAACTGGTTTCTTAGCTGCCTCCATGAATTTAAGAATCTATCTTCTTTATATCTTTTAGCTCTTTCTTTTTTTTTATTTTTAACTTTTATTTAATGAATATAATTTCCAAAGTACAGCTTATGGATTACAATGGCTTCCCCCCCCCATAACGTCCCTCCCACCCACAACCCTCCCCTTTCCCACTCCCTCTCCCCTTCCATTCACATCAAGATTCATTTTCGATTCTCTTTATATACAGAAGATCAGTTTAGTGTACATTAAGTAAAGATTCCAACAGTTTTCTGCCACACAGAAACATAAAGTGAAAAATACTGTTTGAGTACTAGTTATAGCATTAAATCTCAATGTACAGCACACTAAGGACAGAGATCCTAAATGAGGAGTAAGTGCACATTGACTCCTGTTGTTGACTTAACAAATTGACACTCTTGTTTATGGCATCAGTAATCACCCTAGGCTCTTGTCATGAGCTGCCAAGGCTATGGAAGCCCCCTGAGTTCACCGACTCTGATCACATTTAGACAAGGCCATGGTCAAAGTGGAATTCTCTCCTCCCTTCAGAGAAAGGTACCTCCTTCTTTGATGACCCGTTCTTTCCACAGGGATCTCACTCGCAGAGATCTTTCATTTAGTTTTTTTTTTTTTTTTTTCCAGAGGGGACCTCTATTCCCAACATTTTTCTCAGTCTATAATGGCTTCTCCTTTTCCAGTTATCACTTTACAATCATCAAAAAGTAGAAAACAATGAGGAACAGGGCATACTTCCTGTTGAAGGTCACCGTCTAGAATTTTCACTTAAGATTCTGTTCCCTTCTTATTAGACAGACTTTATGCACTTGGCAAAAATTAGATATGTAAGAATCCTGGAGATGTTTATTTGTATGACACTGTACTTTGCTAACACTCAGGGGTCCTATTAATGAGCAATAAGGAAAAATAGATATAAAATACAACCGGAAGGAAGTCTCTGCTATAGGGATAACTGTTATTAATTAAATATTGGTCATCATGTAGCTGATTGTATAAACTGTAACTTGAATACTGCAGTAAATTCTGGTGTTTTTCTTAGCGATGCCATGTGCGGAAAATTGTTCTGTGAAGGTGGGTCTGATAATTTGCCCTGGAAAGGAAGTATAGTAACCTTCCTGACATGTAAAACATTTGACCCTGAAGACACAAGTCAAGAAATAGGGATGGTGGCCAATGGAACTAAGTGTGGAAATCACAAGGTAAGTGGGACATCTGGATTTTATTCAAAATGTTTTTTCTCTTTTGCTTTGTTGTTTTGCTTCTCATGTATTCACTAGTTGCTTTGTTTTTCAATTGTTGAGTTCACCATGTTTTGATACCACAATTAGGGACTTGAATTGGGATACTCTGAGAAATTTAAGAAATAACAGTGATAGAGAACATAGCATTCAGCAAGAATACTCATGATTGTTGATATTCGCGAACATTAAGATGGAATTTGGAAATAACTGACTCTCATAAATGTTAGTACAAAAGATGTTGATAGCATATAGCAGAGTATATTTTGCTTCGCTAAACTAAGTCTGAAAAACCAATGAAGTACCAGGGTGTAGGATACTGGGCTGTGGTTAACAGATTATACAATTATAAACAATGTAAGAAAGCAAAAGTACTGCTTAGCCAGGGGTAAGCCATGAGCTTTGATGATCAGGAGGTTCATCACTCATAGAAGACAAGAGTTACCCTAATAATTTCATTACGATATTGATATGGTCTAAGAGCAATAATTTTTTTCTTTGTGGCAAATCCATCCCCAAAATATCTTATTTACTTACCCCTTTTTAGCTATTTAAATATAAATTCATTCACTAATGAATATCTAATTATGCTTCAATGTTGACATTACTGGTTAAATTAAGTATATATTATTATAGCTTCTAAACCCATGGAGTTAAAAATATAAATTTAGAAATGTTGATAAATACTGCTAATTTCAAATTAAAATGCTGAGCCTTGCTTCAAGTATGTTTAGCTTCCTTCCTTCCTACTCTGTTGCTTAAAATATACTTCAGCATCAAGGATAAGATAATTCATAAACAGAAGTCTTTCATTTGGTTTTCTGGGCTTCTACTTCCTTTAGGCTTTTTAGTCTGATGCTTTTAGAGACATTAAGCCATCATTGCATAAACTTCCCAGAGTCACAGTGCTTGGGTTTATAGAAGGAGAAGGAGGGACACTGGAGGAAGGCAAAATTTAGGAATTTTTGGCTGTTACTATTGCTCATCTCTTCATTATTTGTATGATCACCTCTTCTGAGACATAGTGTGGTTTGAACTTTTTAAAGCAAAAAAAAAAATATTTGGATAAGCATTATCAGTTTTTTGGGGGCTAGTTTAGCTAAAGGAATAAATACCATGAGCACAGTCAATTATCCACCTCCCTTTCCCTTCCCTGCCCACCTCCTGCCCATATATTTGTATAATAAAGGAAGTTATGCATCTTTAGGCTTCTTGTGTGATAATTACACCCTAGAGCCACTTTTAACATCTAATCCCCTCTTGATATTGTCTTAGTTTTGTCATCTTCATCACAGAAGATACAATTTTAAGGCCTTATTTCCTTGTTATATGCTTTGTTTCATAGTATTATTTCTGCAAGACCCTCAGTTTCCTTTTATTCTCAATGACAAATTAATCATTCTCACAAATACATAATTTCTTTTTGATTGTGCAATATTTCTTCTCCTAAGACTTCTGCCACATTTGTCTTATCAGTTCAACTGTCCAATAAGTTGGGATAATTTAGGTTATAAAACAAACAAAAACCAGAAAATCATTTGAAATGGACTTTAAAAATTAGGGCACTCATAAGTTCATATATCCATAAATCAGGAAAACAGAAAAACTGCTTGGTTAATTCAGTGGTACAATGTCATCATCAAGCACCCAGGTTCCTTCTGCCTTAGCTTCCTGCTGTCTCCAGGATGCTGATACCCCCATATAGGCCACCATACCAGTGGTCCATGATTGCTACCTACTTTCCAGGTAGGAATGGCAGAGACAGAAATCAGAGGTTTTCCTCACATAATTTGTTGTTTGAAAGGCAAAGTTACAGAGGCAAAGGTAGAGAGAGTGGTAGAGAAGGCTTCCATCTGCTGGTTCACTCCCCAAATGGCCGCAACTGGCAGAGCTGGGCCGATCAGGTGCCTGGGGTTACTTCCAAGTCTCCCATGTAGGTTCAGGGGCCCAAGCACTTGGGCCATCTTCTACTGCTTTCCCAGGCCATAGTAGAGAGCTGGATCGGAAGTGGAGCAGCCAGGACTGGATCCGGCACCCATATTGGATGCCAGCACTGCAGGTGACAGCCAGCCCCATAATTTTTTTTAAGATTAAAAAATAATATTCCTTGAAAGTGCCTTTCCAACCGTCATGAAATCACATTTTATTGCCCAGAATTTTATCAACTACTTATTCCTAAATCAGTATCTGACTAAGGAAAGGAATTACTAGGGTTAACCTTTGTTCTTTAAAATTCCCTCTTGAAACTGCATAGGCCCTGGTCACCCTGTGAAACACAAGAGTGTCCAACATGTTAATAAAGTCAGATAGCTATGGCAACAACACCCACTGCCATGCATGACAAGCAATTTGGAATTGGAATAAAAGCTTCAGTATAGTTGGATCTTTTAGTGGTGCAATTTTCACACTTAGTTGTAGACCTGGGACATTTTATTCATATGAAATCACATTAGGAAGCCTAAATGCCCAAAATAAATAAAAGCAGAGCTACTCAATGGAAAGTGAAGTATGGGAAAGGCAGCCAACTCCAAGTTGGTGCCTTCTTGTGTCTTGTGGAGCATGGTTGTAAAAGTAATGCTTTTGCAATTCATTTATGCATGCGTGAATTCATTTTCTGAATAATATTTAATAAGTACCTATTATGTGTTTAGTAATAGATTGTTAAACTTTGTAAATTTTAGTTATCCAAAATGGTTAGATACTCATTAAATGACAGGCATTCTTTTTCTGAAGATTTATTTAAATATTTGACACACTGAATGGCAGAGAGAATGACAGAAACAGAGAGAGATTTTCCATCTGCTGGTTCACTCCCCAAAAGTCTGAAACTCCTTTGAGGTCTTCCATGTGGATGGCAGGGGTCCAATTACTTGAGGCATCATCTGCTGCTTTCTCGGGTGCATTAGCAGGGATCTGGATCAAAGATAGAATGGCAGGGACTGGAACCAGCACTTTGATATGAGTTGCCAGCATCCATGTTGCAGCTAGACCCACTATACCACAAGGCTGGCCCCCATAGGAGTCCTTTATAATAATAATTAAAGAAAACATTTTCCTTATAAATAACACACAGGAAAATTCGCAATGCTATTTAGAACTACATAGATGATAATTATTTTAATATTGCACATATGATATCATATATGTTCTTTATGTTACGGTTGTTGGAAAGAGCTACCTGGTATGAGTGTTATGTGCAATGCATAGGTCACTGGTAAATGTCAGTAATAATTGTTGGAGTAAAACTAGGGGTTAAGAAAAGAATGAAGTACAAAAAGGAAATCTTTAAAGATGTATTTCTAAATATTTTATCATAAAAATTATGTAGAACCTATCTTCCTAAAAAAAAAAAAAAGCACTGAGACTTCCCTACCAAAAAGATGAGTTTGATAACAATAGTGCTGACTAAAAATATAGGGCTAAATTCCAGACTGTGAATCACTTGTAAGCCTGAAGCATTGGACATTAATGTCAATTCGTGTTTCTCATGTGTCTGTCAGGTTTGCATTAATGCAGAATGTGTGGATGTTGAGAGAGCCTACAAATCAACCAATTGCTCTTCTAAGTGCAAAGGACATGCTGTGAGTTTTGAAAATATGTTTCTGCAAGCTTGCAAAATCTTATATAATTTTAGGTC